GTGACGCTGCTGGCGGACTCCCTAGGCTGGCCTAACCCAGATCCCAGAGCCTGACGGTGGCCCAGAGGAGCGACTGACTCCCGCGTAGGCTGCCTCCTCCGCAACTCCCTGGTGCGCAGCGGTGGGCGGGAACAACTAGCCAGCCCAATTTGATCAGGCTGTGGCTGACAGGCAGGGAAGCCGGGCCTCCTATGTAAGCTTGCATTTTATAAGGAACAGAAAATATGGAGAAGGGAAGCAACAAAAAAGGCTCCTCGGCCCCCAATCCTGAGAAACAGGCAATAGTGGACACCGCACCAATATACATTAAGCGCCATATAGAGAGCCTCATAGACCAATTCAGGAATGAAGTTATCAACGACCTGAAGCTAGAAGTATGCAGAATAGTTAGAGAAATGCTAAGCACCACCCAGGAAAAAACAGATGGTGGAATGGAAGAACAGAAAAAGAGGGGAGAATTGCTTGATGGAGAAAACAGAGAAAGCATTGAGTATGTGAAGCAGGTTCAAAGGGACTATCAAGAAATTAAGAAGTCTATCCAAGACTGGCATAACAGCTTGAAAGAAACTAAGGACAGACTATCTGAACTGGAGGGCAGACTTGAAATATGGGAGAATGAAATGAAAAACTTCTTAAAAATAACAAAGAAACAAACAGCAATAATACAAAGACAAGAAGATGATAAGAGGAGCCATAACTTAAGGATTAAGAACATAAAAGAAGAAGTAGGGACACAAACAAGTGAACTACAAAAGCTACTCACAGAAATAATCCAGGAGAATTTTCCTAATTTAGCAAAAGGTAAAGATACTCAGATGTATGAGGCATACAGGACCCCAGCTACCTACAACCCTAACAGAGAAACACCCAGGCATATAATAATAAAAATTCCAGAAATTCAATACAAGAACAGAATATTAAAAGCTGTAAGAGACAAGAAACAGATCACTTACAAGGGAACACCCATCAGAATTACAGCAGATTTCTCTTCACAAACCATCAAATCACGAAGAGCATGGGGGGAAATAATTCAAGCTTTGAAAGATAATAATCTCCAGCCAAGATTGAGATATCCTGCACAACTGTCCCTGGAAATTGATGGAAAAACGAGGTGCTTCCAGGATAAAGAGGAACTGGGGGAATTTGCAACCACCAATTCAACCCTACAGAAAGTATTGCAGGATATTCTAAAAAAAGAAAAATACAAAGAACCCAGAAATAGTGGCGGGGAGGCCACAACGAATGGAGCAGAGAACAAAATGAAGAAGACAAACTGACAGCTACTGACAGAAAAAGAGCTCAACAGAAATGAGACAGAGAAGATTGGATGATAGGAACAGCTATTTTGGAGAAAATGACATCTTAATAGGTAATGCTGATTTAGTACCATCTTGTTTTGAAGTCTCATCTAGCTTTTGTTCTTCTGTCTCCAATGGTCTAAACAGGTTGTATCTTATTGGATTTTGTTATGTACGATAGTATAATCAAAAACCTTTTAAAGACAAGGAGATTATACAGAGACCATTGTTCATTTTCTGTTAGTCGATTCTAAATACTCTATAATGCTGTCATTCTCTTAAATGGTTTTACATTGTTTTGATATACTTAATGCTACAGTATATGAAGTTGTACTCAAGGACTTCAGGGAGAGAGTCAATATGGTAACTACTTTTGGGTCGGAAATATCTGGTGGTGAAACACTATTCTGCTTAAATGGTTATGTTTTGATCTGCCCTGTTTCGCTGTTATGCCCTCTTTTTTCTCAATCTCCACTCCATTATTTACTTTTTTATTTTTATCCATTTAATTAAAGGGAAAAATATAGCAGGGTATAATATAGTAACCCACTTTGACTTTCTATTATCTCGATTTGAAGCCCTGTATTACTCTCACCATCTTGTTTTTGACTGAGGTTCCTCTATTCTGTTTTGCTGGATAGTATCAGGTTTGAAAGTTTAGGCATCAGCTGAGAAGATAATGAGATTCATTATAACGCCCATTCTCGTTGACTTTTGTCTACTTTTGAAGACCTACAATATCTCCAATGTTTTGGTTTTGTCGGTTTTATTCTTTACTGTTTTGTTCAATTGTATAACTAATGATATAGGCAATTCTATTAGAAATAGCGGGAGGCATTATGGCAACCATTGTTGATCACCTTGTATTATGTTTTTATATTATCTATTATATCCACCCTTTTGACTTGACCGATTCTGTTCTGTTATGGCACATTTGGTTTTACTCTCTTCCAAAAAAGCAATAAGAACCGTGGGAGCAATGAAACCCAAAATGTGTAATAGTCACTGTACAAAAGAGAGGAAAAGAAGGTGCTCTAAACTATATAACTGCATGTATATTTAAATGTATAAGATAGAAAATGATATCACAGAGTTTTATTGGATCATTGAACAGAACTGTTTGCAGTATCATTGTTGGAATGTCCACTCTACAAGCTTTAATTTTGTGACTTGAACAATTATTTCTAAGATGGCAATATGTAATCCATTAACTAGTGATTTCCTACTGCGCATTTTTTTCTTCTGTAAATCTGTATAACTTGTACCCCTTCACTGTTTTTTTTTTCTTTCTTTTCTTTTCTCCTTAAATTAAAAAAAAAAAAAAAAGTGCCAAAACTTTCTGCAGTGGATTAACTAGTGGCCAACTCAGTTGGCTGAACTGAATCAGCATGGTTCTGGGTGTAGAAGGCCCACCTGAGGATTGCTGCCAACAGCATAAAAAGAGAACCAGAGGGGAAGATACTGTGCTGTTGATTTTCTTGAAGTTTGTTGCACTGGTTTTCCTGATATGAACATAGCTGTTATCATTAGGGTCCTTGCTGTCACTGAAGACGGCTGTGGTTCTTTTCAGGGTGCTCTGGTCCTTACCTTGAGCATCACTTCCTGGCTCCACTGCAGATCCCTCAGCCTGCTGGCACAGATCCTTCATCCTGCTGCCACTTTCTAGCTTCCACCACTGACCTTTAAGCCTTCCCAGTGCAGATTCTTGACACAGAATTGCATGAGACGTGGTTGTGGGCTCTAGGTCTTCAGCTGGACTTATGCAGGGCATTGGCATGGGATTCAGACCTTCAGTTGGATTCTTTGGGTCTCCAGTATATGGACAGATCTCTTGTACTCTTCTCCATTTCACTTTTTTGAATATTATAAAACAATCCTATAAATTGTGTATCCTATATTAAATCTACCCCTGTATTATGTATCCTATAAATTAGGTATATTAAATCTACCCCCTACAAGCCCTGACTCTAATACTTCATTTTTATATAACATACTTTAAAAAGGGACAAGCAGCCTGCAGATTGCATGTACATTCTAAAATATAGTCTAGAGCAATGTGACTCAGAGTGCCACACTGTAAATGGCCTGTGATATGGCTTGTGTCTAGATGTTCCCCCAAAGCCTCATGCAGTCATAGGTGGGGCTCTTTCAGAGGTGACTGATTCATGGTGCAATGCTAGGATTAAGTTTACTAGGATGGCTGGTGGATAATTACAAAACCAGCCCACGGATTGGACTGGCACTGTATCCAGTAGATTGGAAGGAGGTCTTGTCCTTTGGTGCTTTGCTACCTTCTGCTCGCCAGGAATTGTTTCTGCTCTGTGATGTTCCTCTGCATTGTAGCCAGCTATTATGGACTGAAACCTCTACAAACTGTGAGCTAAATAAACCTTTCCTCCCTTAACTTTGGGCATTGGGTATTTTGTCTGAGCAATAAGAAAAGTGCCTAAGACAGCTTGTCACCAGCCCACAATGAAATAAAGAATGAGAACTTTTAGAGATATCAGGTTAATTGTTGTTGAATCTAATGAAAGTAGGACTTATATTAAACAAAAACAACCTAATGAACAGAGAAAGAGTAGTTGCTAGCTGGGAGTTTATTTTGTCAGAGCAGGGTGAAGTCCAGATCTGTGACTTCAACACCAATATATTTATCGATTTTTGCCCAGGATTGATTTTTCTTTTTCCCTAACTGAGCACTGGCACACTCAGATTCTAAGTTCTGTGCAGTGATCCAATAGTTCCTACCTGTAGGTATTCATGCCCTTGTGAAATTCCCTCCTCTGTTTGTGGGTTGGTCTAATGATTAACCAACAGAATGTGACAAAGGTGATGTCACTTCTGTGTTAGAATATATGATTCTATCCTGCTAGCAGACTCTCATCCTTATTAGCTCTGATGATGGAACTTGCCATGTTGTGGAGGTTTGTGTGGAAAGATGCGGCAGTGACCGCTGGCAACTATCAGCTTATGGAAGGCCCTCAGTGCAATAGGTTTTTTTTTTTTGGTCTTTTTCTTTTCGTTTTTTATGGGTACCGGGGATCAAACTCACAACCACACACTTGCAAGGCAGGCACTTATACCGCTGAGCTAAATCCCTAGCCCCCAGTGCAATAGGTTTTGGGAATGGAACCTATGACAACAATAAAAGTAATCCTGAAAGTAGATCTCTTCCAGGAAGGCCTTAAGAACCCAGCCTCAGTCTATAACAACAAAAGTCTTGTAGGGTGTCAGAGAAATCCTGAAGCAGAAAATCCAGCAAAATTATGCTTGAACACTACAACACTATGAAATGTAGTAGGCATATGTAGTTTTAAACTACAAAATTTATTCGGCATCTGCTCAAAATATGTCAATACTATATAGGTCAGAACCTGCTGAAAACCTGAGAAACTTTCCGTAGTCAGAATCAACTACTATGTCTTCCCTCCAGCTCTGTAGTATTCCAGCAAAAGGCTTTTGCAGCTAATTCCACAAGATGTCCCTGCTGTGTGAACAGAGTAACTAGTATAACAATAGTATGATCGTGCTAGATTTAAGCCCCTTCCTATGTCAGGCTACAGGCAAACCACTTTCAGCTTACAAGGACTGCAGTTTATAAGGAAAGGCCACAAACACCAGGATAAAGGTACGGTATTATGAAATAGATCTGCACCCATCCCCAGAACACCCATCCCCAGAAAGAAACTTGGGCAATTCTGGTAAATGCACATCTTACTCCTTTTAATTATAATAGGCAATACAGCCCTGAAGGAAGGACAGCATCACTGATGCTATAAATGTAGTTAATTCTGCAGAACAAACAGGAAATAAAATGGGTCCTACAAGAACCCACTCAGAATCAGAACTAAATTAGCTCAATATCCCCTGTTCAGTTCTTGAATTATTCTGGTCAATGTAACTTTTAATCTATATAATTCATAATCAATAGGTTGGCTGTTCTCCTTCTGTCTTACTCCTACTCCCCTGTATTCTCTTCCACGATTACTTAAGTTGCCATTTAATAGATTTGATCTGCTTGGGCAGCAGAACTCAGAATCTCTCCCTCAATGAGGCTACAAAGTAAATTCATGCAACAGTTCATGACAGTCATCTATACCCCTTTCAATTCTAAATCGACATGAGTTTAGAGGTGACTTTCCCAAACCCAGCTTTTGCTGCTGCCTCTGATTTTCCAGCCATTCTCACCATGCAGAATGGGCAGAAAGGCAAGCCAGACCTCAGCAGCAGACACTCCAGAAGCAGCAACACTCTTATCCAGCCATGTTTCCTTTTTTAATCATCCTCCAATAGCCAACATTCAGTTACCAGATGAAGCTGGAGGCACCCCAACTATCAAACAGCTCAACTCTAACCTGAAACAAAACTTACAACAGGTCCTTCTGCAAAATGATTCACCAAGCTTTCTGTGGGAAGAAGAGTCTTCTTTAACACGGGCTTAAGAGAAGAATAGCTGAAGATGAAGAAAAATTGACTGGCCAGTCCTCTGCAACTGACTAGCTGCAGTGGCCCTGAGAGGAAAAAAAAGACTGCTGTGATTCCTTATCACCCTAACTAAAAGCAGTAACAACAGGATTTACATTCACAGGGCATCATTCCAAGATTCACCTATGTGAATCTCATGACCACTTCCAGCAAGGCAGAGACTCGGGCAACAAGGAGGTGATGTTTGGGCCCTGTGAGAGCCGCTGGTCAGGGTCCCCATTCAGTGACTCAGTCCCTGGAAGATGGGTTCAGTACAAGGGGGAAGAGCTACTGGCTGGTTTAGCAGCTTGTCCATTATGCTGATTTTAGCATCTTGTTTCTCAATGTCCTCATATGGAGTCCAGGATAAATCATGCTGTAGCTTGTACGCACCAAGGAAGTCATGTGGACAATTCGCTCCCCATTCCTAGAGAAAGCAAAGAAGTTGGTTCTAATCAGGTTAGGATGTAAACAAACTGAGCACATCTCCTACTTAACTATATATTGCTTTTTGGCTTTTTGCTTCAGACTACTCAGAACCATCCTTGGAAGGCAGTCACACTATACCTCAGATCTTTCTCTTAACAGGGCAAACAAAACTAATTTAACATGTTATGGTTGATACACTGTGTCAACTTGAGAAGTTTAGAAGTTTAACTAAGAGACTCAGCAAGGAGCCAATGTGCAAGAGGGGAGAACAGAGGTGGTGTGGGTGCTACACCCACCGGAGGGTGGGGTTGTGGGCAGCCTGCTTACAATATAAGGGAGGAGAAGCTGCTTGTTCACGCCCCTTTTGCTCTAGCTGCTTTTGCTGGCTGCTGCTTTGAAGCGTTGCCCTGAGCTATGCTGCCCTTCCTTGAAGCCCACTGATTATGGACCGAAACTCCACAGTGAGCAAAATAAACCTTTCCTTCCTTCATTTTGGGTATCGGGTATTTTGCCCCAGCAACCCAGAGAAAAGTAACCAAGACACATGTTTATAACAGCACTGTAATTCATATGACTTGTCGCCAGACAGCTCTGGTGGTTCAAGCGTAACCGTCCCACTGGATGGCATGGGACAGTCACACATGTACCACTGCTGGTTCAATTCAAGCGAGCAGGAATAGTAAATACACATGCATATTTTTTTAAAGTTATATTTGGCTTACAACATCCCCAATTTTTTAGGAAACCATTTACAGTTCACATATCTATTTTTCATACACAAGAATTTCTCAAAGGTCAGAGCAGATTTTCTAGGTAAAGAATAAATGCTCTTACCTTTGGAGAAATAATGGAAAAGTACTGCTGGCCACTTTCCCGTTGATAAAGATAGTAAATATTGCCAGGTTTTTTCACCATGTTACAAGCTACGTGGTGCAAGTCAGCATCTCTACGGGCATCTTCCAGAACCTATGAACCACAAAGGTGTAATGTGTAAAGGAATGGAAGTAACAAGCCCACTTGGGGATTATCCCAATGAAAACTTGGACACTGTTCAATGTTTAGGATCTTGCTCCCCCATAGCCATGAATCATTACTGGGGTCCAGATGATTCTGAAGAAATAAAAATTAGATAATTGCTACTATGCTAAAAAGAAATGCTTTCAGGAAAAATGTACTTCAAAGTGGTGAACATCTCTGGCTTTGCATGACTCTTAAGTCCTCTTTTTCTGTGCTAAGTACATTTCTTTTATAAATGAAACCATTTTCTCTCTTATAAGCTTTTTATCTTATTGAACTTCCTCCCAGGTGATGGAGGAGACAATCTCATAATTCCAGCACTCTGGGAGGTTGAGGCAATTAGCAACTTAGCAAGATCCTATCTCAAAATTTAAAAAGGGCGGAGGACATGAGTTTGAGTTCCAGTACTGGGGCGGGGGGGGGGGGGGGACATTAAAAACTTACACTTTACTTCTGACACAGTCTAGATGTTGCTTGTCCCCCCAAGGGCACGTCCTGGGAGTCTGGAGTTTGGTCACCCATTTGGTGATATGAAGCTAAAGGAAGACGTGCAGCCTAGCAGAAGGCCCTTCAGGCACTGGAGGCACTGTCCTTAGAAGGGAATGCTACTCTCCTAGCAGGAGTTCTTGAGATAACCAGAGCCCCAGCATGAGCAAAAGCATGTTGTTACAAAAACCCAACCCTTGATTCTCTGGCTTTGTGCACAGAGGCGTAATTTCTCCTCCCACACATGTGGGATGCAGACTAGCAGGCTCTCCCCAGAGCTAATCATGCCAATATCATGCCCTTGAACCTCTAAAATGATGAGAAAAACAAACCTTTTCTTTGTAAATTTAGCCTACCTCAGGTATTTCATCACAATAACAAAAGAGACTAATATGACCTCTTAGGTTTGCTCCATTTTATTCAAAGCCTTCAACTTTCTAGGAGATACTGAACACAAATGAGCTACAATGCTTAAATCAAGTTTGGCCAATTCTGTCAACTAAATGAAGAAAATGAACGCTTATCCAGAAGTCCTTCCTTGGGGCTGGGGATTTAGCTCAGCGGCATAAGCGCCTGCCTTGCAAGCAGGCAGTTGTGAGTTCGATCCCTGGTACCGATAAAAACAAAAAAGACAAAAAAAAAAAAAAAAAAAAAACCAGAAGTCCTTCCTTACCTTTCTGGCTTGTTCTTGCAAATGTTGGACTTGTTCAGCTATGACTGTCAACTTGTTGGTGGCATTTGCTCGGATGAATTCATCAGCCTATAAACGAAAGAAAGCCAAGCTGGAATAAAAAGGATGACTTCTGTGACGTTCTTATTTAGGTGCAATGTGGAGAACACTGTTCACATCTTCACTTACACCTTCTCAGTCTCACTAATGACATCTAAATGCCTGCTCACCCCAAGGCCCAGCTCAAGTAGCAGTGCCTATGAGAAGCCCACACTGACACGACCTCACACCACAGAATCGACGCTCCTTCTGAGCTGTTTCGGTTGCTTGCCATCTTTTCACTCTGAACTCTAGACTGAACTTGTCTGGTCCTCCAACATGCCCTGCTCTCTCTTGCTACCACAGATACTAAATATGCTCTCTCCTCCATCTAATGCATTTCCCCCTTGTTCTCTGCATGCTAACCCCATGTGTTTCTCAAGTCTTCCGTTTGTTTTCTCCTGTTTAAACACTTCTAACGTCAAGGATGGGTCTTACAGTGAAAATCAGATTTTGTGATTGGTTCTCATTATCTACTAATGTTGGACCCTAACACACACTCTCCTTCCCATATATATATAGATACAGATATGTTTTATGTATATTATTATATATGTAAAAATACATGTATATATAAAATGTTTTATATATACATAAAAATCTGGACATTCTTTTAGCTGAATTACTTATATTAGATCTACTTAAATTTAACTTACAGTTCATTCCTAATTGATATTCCTAAATAAAAATACATTTAATGTATTTGAAAAGACTACATTATGGCCAGGTTTAGTGGCTCACACCTGTAATCCCAGGATGCAAGGGACGGAATAGGACAACTGCAGTGAGTTCAAAGCCAGCCTGAACTACACAGTGAGACTCTTTTTATTTACTTATTTATTTATTTTTAGTACTAGGGATTGAACTCATGACCTTGCGCTTGCCAGGCAGGCACTTATGCCACTGAGCTAAATCCCTGGCCCTGAAACTTTACCAAAACAAGGACTACATTATAAAACTGAATACTGTGGTGTGTGCCTAAAGTCTCCATTATTCTGGAGATTGAGGCAGAAGGATCACTTGAGCCCAGCAGATGGAGGCAGACACAGACAACAAAGCAATATTCCTCTACAAAGACTGTGCTCACTGTGGTAGCACATATACTAAAACTGGAACAATACTGAAAAGATTAGCATGGCCCCCATGCAAAGATGACGTGCAACTTGATGAATTTTCTTCCTGAATTATTGAAAAACTATGAAATTGTTAAAACAAGTTTTAATTTACATGACATTTGTATAGTTCTGTAGGTGCTGACACAATTGTCAGCTGTTCTCTCTTTACAACCAGGACTGATCCCTATTGTGTGGAACAGGTTGAAGAAGTGTATGAACACCAAAACCAAGGTCACATCATAGGGAAAGTTACACCAACAGAAGAGACCTCCACAGCAATGACAGAGCTCTTCTCCCTTAAATGATCTTCAGTCCTCAGCACAGTTAACAATAGAAACATGAGGAAACAAGATAATAAGATGCTCCCCAAAACCTTCAATTCCTCAAAGCTGATCTCAGGGGCACTGCAGTACAAAGGAAGTCATAAGCAATGAACTAAAAAATCAAATGGTTAAAATGTATGAAGACAAAAAATTTTAAAAAATGTATGAAGAGATCAAAAAAACAAGCAAATTCTTCAGATGTTTTAGTGATCTTAAAGAGGACTTAACTAGATAGATGAATTAAATATTCAGCAAGTTTAAAGACACAAATATTAGGCTAATTGAATTAAGATATGAATGACCATTTTGGTGAAGAACTAGAAATTATGAAAGCAAATCAAGGGGGCCGGGGATTTAGCTCAGTGGTTTAAGTGCTTGTCTGGCAAGCATGAGGTCCTGAGTTCAATCCCCAGTACCAAAAAAAAAAAAAAAAAAAGAAAGCAAATCAAACAAAAATTAGGATATTAATTCAATTGAGATTTCCTGTCCACTGTGGCTGTTTGTAACTTGGGATTCATTATGAGAAGACCTCGGTTTTGGGCAGTTTCTTACTTCTTGTTTCGCTGTTGTTTTGGAACTCTTCTGGACCTGAATAAGCAGTGACTTCAATGCGTTCTGAGAGCCAGAATGAAAAAAAAGCCCTTTGATAAAGACACAGAAGAACTGGTAACAGACACCTGAGAAATAACTGTCCAAAAGAAAAATGGCTCAAATACAAATATTTTTATCTTGTTTTTTGTTGTGGATCATTTAAAAAAAATTTTAAATTAACAAAAAAAAGACTGTATCATTAAGTAAACCACAAAAAAGATATAATATATAAGACAGCCTGTCATTTGCCAAAATGCAACTAAAGCCAATGGAACATTCTTAAAATAGCTCAAATAACTATCAAAAGTAAGAGACATGTGACTAATTCATGTAGTAGGAAGAATTATCACTCAGACATCAGAAATCTGTCAAAAATTATCAACTTACTTTCAAGAAAAGCTAATTAACTTCCAACAGTACCCAATTACTCCAAGGAAAGAAATTAGGAGGTTAAATTGGAACTAAGGCATATTAAGGATATAACTTAATAAATGGCATAGAACTTATAAAACATGCACAAGAAAGTCTTGAGGTCAAGCTCTGACACAATTTAAACAGGAAAGCAATTAAGAGAATTTGCAGGTTGAGAAATATTAAGGCAAATATCAAGTATAAGCCAAAGTTCTAGGTAAAGAGAAATGATACAAGTAAAAGGAGTCAATTCTTTGTTCCACAAATATATACAAGCAATTTCCACATGTATGACATCATGCTAGGTACTCAATACATCAGCAAATATGGGAAGTTCCGACTTTTGTCAGGATTACAGTCTAATGCAGCTGGTCCAGTAGAAATATGAAACAAATTACTAGGCATTCTGGCACATCTCTGTAATCATAGCACTTTAGCAAGCTGAGGCAGAAAGCTCACAAGTTCAAATCTCACCTGGAAAACTTATGAGATTCTGTCTCAAAATTAAAAAGTTTTAAGGGCTACGGATCTAGCTCAGTGTAAAGGCCCTAGATTCATCCCCAGTACTTCAAGAAAACAAACTGAGTATTTTTGGCACTCAATCTGAAGCAGCACAGAGAAAATGAGAGATAAGAAGGAGACAAAGGAAGAGGCCTTTAATGTGGGCATGGGAGAGCTTCATGGGGCAGGGGTTCAGAGGCTCCCAAAGGAGAAGAAAAAAGTGGGACTACTTTTATCAGTTTTGACTGGGGGAGGTTGGAGGTGGGCAAAATCACTGATTAATATCTGCCTGTGGTAAACAGGAAACAGCAAGATTTACTGGGGCTGGAGGTGGAGGCTTGGGAGTTTGTGGAGGCTTAGGATAGAAGACAGCTTGGCGCATGCACAAAAAAGGGAAAGGGAGGTTTATCTCTAGAGCGAGGAGAACACAGAAGTTACTCTTGGAGAGATAAGTTGTTTCTCTGGATCTGGTACCAAGTTGGGAGGTTGTAGCTAAACCCTCGGCTAGCAGACTCTATCACAAACAAAAAACAGCAGCAGCAAGTCACATATGAAATTTTCACATTTTCTAGTAACTATATTAAAAGTAAAAATAGCCAAGTGTGGTGGCTCACACCTGTAATCCTAGCACTTGGAAGGCTGAGGCAGGAGAATTTTTGTAAAAATCAGCCTGGATTACATAATGAAATCCTGTCTCAAAAAAATAAAATAAATAAAAAATAAAAATAATAAGCAAAACAATTGTAATATATTTTATTTAAGCCAACACATCAAAAAACACTTTCATTTCTAATAAATAAAAAACACTTTCATTTCTAATTCATAATAAAATACACTTTATACAACAGGTTGTACTCAATTTAGATGCCAAATTTTATTGGAAATAGTTGATCTGTATTTAGACTTCTTAAAGCTTATTTAAAATAATACTTAAAATAAATTTATTTAGATTAAATTAAATTTAAATAAATTTAAAATGTATTTAAATTAAATTTGTTAAATTATTTTTTAATAATCCACGCAAATTGTCCTTCAATTTCACTTAACTTTCAGGTTCGTAATTCAATTAATTACGTTAAATGTATACATTCAGTTATTCCAGTCTCACTAATCCACACAATCCAAGTATTCAACAGCCATATGTGATTGGTAGCTACCAAACTTTACAGCAGAGTTCTCCTGAGTAACAACACTGACAAATATAAAGATAAAGCTAGTATTAAACGTATTCAGAATAATGACATAACATCATTATATGGTAGAAGAAAAATAACAAGCAACTTTAAATAATAGGGAGAAGTGAGGAATGTAAGAGTTGCTATGTGCAACCAAACAGTATTCAAATTTAATAATGCTGTCACTTGGATATAGCTTTTGTAAGACAAGGTCTCCCTAAGGATGTGACATTTGACTTGGGTCTAAATGAAAGGCCCAGTCCAGTCCTCCAAAATTTGCGAAGAAAAAAATTTCCAAGTATCTCTGAGATCAGCAGTAACAAAGGGAAATGTATAGAACAAGGCTTTTAAAAAGAGCAGCGAGCATGGAGGCGTGTGCTCACAGTCCCTGCTAGTCAGGAGGCTGAGAGATTGCTTGAGGCCAGCAGTTCAAGACCACCTGGGGCAACACAGCAAGTCCCTGTCACTTTAAAAAAAAAAAAAATCAAGGACCAAGAGCCGGAAGAGGGAAAGAGATCAATCATGCAGGGCATGTGGCCTATAGTAAAGAATTTGTATTCTGTTAAAGGACAGAAGAGCCACATGGCTAATGAGAGATCAAGTGGGTTTCTAGACCTAAGACAGGTCCAGGCCAGGAGTGGCCTTGTAATAAAGCTTCCTTTCTTAAGGTGGTGGTAAATTCGTCCTTCATAAACAGAACAATTTAATTAAAACCGAAGAGTATCTACAATCAAAAGCACCACCCTGGCTCCAACAACTCCTAGGAGCTTTACATTAATTACTAAATTTAACTCATTTTATGAAGTAACAAATGATAACTTCACTTTCAACTTTCACAATCATTTTAGGATTTAAGGTTCAAGAGAGGCAGACAACCTGTCTAAGGTTTCACAGCTTGGCAGTTGAAGGATTTCAACATGGTTTGCTCATTCTAAAACTTATGCCTTAATACCAAGCCTCCCAAGCTTTCAGAACACACCTTAAATCAGATGCCAGAGATCAGGTCTGCTAGAAAGTAATTTCAATACACAGGTAATAAAATATGCTCAACTCTATTTTTTCTCAACTTCTCAAAGACTGAATATATTGGGAAAATTGAGGCAGCACAATAATGCACATTTCACTAAATTATTTCACTAGATTATAGAAATCAAATATCACGTTCATTCTTTCTTTGGTTCTCACCATAATAAACAAGATGATCACTAAGTAACACATGAAAATGTTGTTTGCCCAAAACTTTGTCCCTGGAAGCCTTGCTACCAAGAACATGACCTTAATAAACAGACACATACTATTCTGCTAATCCATTAAAATTGTACTTTGCTCCCCACTGCTCTAAAAAGACACAAGGGCTCAATTAAAATAGCCCAAATACTTGAGTTTTTGTTAAATAAAATGAAAACAGTAGAGATGTTTATGTGAGGATATACAAGCACATTATTAATTCTGTGCAAAACAAAGACTTTTGAATATAATCAAAGTCAAATCTGACAGTGTATACAATGATAAGGGGGTATTTTTGAAAGCAGCAGGGTCCTAAATCTGTGCACACTGTAGAGAGGCTCTATATCTGAAAGTCTTGGAAGGTTCATTCCCTTCCCAAGCTTAAGTCTCACCCAGTGGCAGCAAAGGTCTCGACTCCCAAAGCTCAGGGGTCCTGGGCAGCAGTAAGCTGTTACCTCTAATCCTTTCTTGATTGCCAGGAAATGCGGCAGAATTCAAACAACCAGAGAGACGCAGAAGAATCAGGAGGATCTATTTAGGTGTACACCTGGCGCAAGGAATGTCTGTCCAAAAGGGCTGAGTGTTGAACAATGGAAGGGGTCCTGCTTTGTACACGTTGCCAAGGAGGTCTTCCCTGTGGAACTTGTGGGTGGGCAGGAGAACAAGGCAGTCTGTCAAACTGTGACAGATTTGTAGCATATCTTGGTGGCCCTGCTTGAGCATAACAGGATGTTATGCAAACAAGAGATTACAAAGTTTTACTTACAGGGACAAAACTTACTGCTTTTATCTGTATTAGAACAAAAAAATCAGCTATAGGGAGGGGAAAGGTCGAGAAACTCAGCTGTTTAAATTCTGCTTCAGCACATGCCTGTAATCTCAGCATTCAGAAGGCTGAAGCAGGAGCATTGTTCTGAGTTTGAAGCCAGCATGGACTACACTAGCAAGTTCCCTAGCCTGTACTACATAGTGAGACTCTGGCTAAATAAATTAGTTAAGAAAGGACTTGGTTTTTCACTGAAGGTGAAGAGTTCTCCTATTTCAAACTGTCAATTTTACAGAAAAAGCTGAAGACCACAGACAACTGGCTCAGCTAACGTCAAAAGTCACACTAAGACTCATGTGTCTAAATGCCTACTACATTTTCTGTTGTTTTTCATTTACTCTTTATTTTACCTATTTTGGCAATCAGGGTCTAACCTCTCATTTTAGGAATGCTGTGCTGTGTCCACGGTCAGTGAGGACACAGGACAAAACTTCTGGGTCCTCCCCTCCTAGAAAACATTTAAAGTTAGTTCTATAAGCTCTCAGGGAACTGATAAGATCTTCTGAGAAGCAGCTTACAATGAGTAGACTTAGCAACCCAGAAAAAATTTAGTGATTTTCATGTGTGACAGTAACCACTTCTGCACAGCGTACTTCACAAGACTGTCCTAAGGTGCAAATGAAAGCAACCACTTCTGCACAGCATACTTCACAAGACTGCCTAAGGTGCAAATGAAATAAAGAATACTGAGTGTTACGCAGTTTCCTGGGAACTAAAACAACTCATCACTCTCCCAGCTGAGTTCGCTCACCTTCTGGACCTGCTCTGCGAGCGCCACGAGGTCTAGCGGGTCCCCGACCCGGTGGGTGTGGTAGGGACTCACCAGAGCCAGGCCACCGGGAGTCGGTGTACGCTCTACCAGGGCTCCTGCGACACACAGCGGGAACATAGATCGTGAGTTCCCGCCCTTGGCCTCCCGCGGAGCCTTAAGAGACTAGCTCTGCGGCGGCTTCTCGTCCCCGCAGACCTCTGCCCAGCATACCTCCTCGGCCAGCCGCCGGCGGCACTCCGCTACTTTCCACACCTCCCTCGGCCTGCCCCGGGACCTCAGCGTCCTCCATGACGACGCCTAGCCAGGGGGCTTGCCAGCCAGAAGAACATGCGCATAAACGCTTGTGGGTGGAGCTTCCATGTCCCCAAACCAATGGGCGTCAGAGCGGCCAAAGCAGCTTGCGCTCAATCCTGCTGACGCACAGAGTCCGACTGAGGAGCGGATTCCAGATTGGTTGAAAGAAAAGAGGCGGTGCAAGCCTCCTGGGCATGCGCCGCCCGGTTTGGAGGCGGGTGCTTCTCCGGAGTTTGGTTTAGACAGCGTGGAACCGCGCCCTGGCCGGGGAGTGTAGAGCGGTCCCGTTAGGTCTGCTGAGGCGATGGCCGAGCGGGTGTGGAGGGTGCTGACCACCCTGCTGGCGGCCACTGCCGCTTCCTCCCAGACTAACGTGGAATCAGAGGCCGGGTGGGACTTGGCGGCGCCTGATCTGCTGTTCGCCGAGGGGACAGCGGCCTACGCGCGCGGAGACTGGGCCGGGGTGGTTCTGAGCATGGAGCGGGCGCTCCGCTCGCGGGCCGCCCTGCGCGCCCTCCGCCTGCGCTGCCGCACCCAGTGCGCCGCGGACCTGCCCTGGGAGCTGGACCCCGGCTCAGCCCCGAGCTTGACTGTGAACCCGGGCGCCGCCGCGCTGCAAGACCTGCGCTTCTTCGGGGGCCTGCTCCGCCGAGCCGCCTGCCTGCGCCGCTGCCTCGGGCCGCCCGCCTCCCATGCGCTCAGCGAGGAGCTGGAGCTGGAGTTCCGCAAGCGGAGCCCCTACAACTACCTGCAGGTCGCCTACTTCAAGGTTCGGACCAGCCCAGAGGAGGGTGGCCGGGGTCCTTCCGAGACAGGAGTGTTTGCAGGCAATCTGGGACACTTAAGAGGCCAGCAGCGAAGAGTGCGCAGAGAGAGGGTGGGCTGGGGAGCTCTCCTTGGATGCAGGGAAGGCAGGGAACCTGCCAGCAGATCCAGCCGGCTGGCCTTTATGGGCAGATGCTAACTCCAAGGGTTCCGCTAAGGTTAGGGTCCAATCCAATAAAAACTTGATCTTTTGTTCCCTTCCGGAAGACTTCCTAGAGAGAACTAAAGCGGAAGGTTGGGTCTCTCCTGTCCTGATTGCATTGTAAGTGTCAAAGTGAGAAGCTAGGAACTCTACAATGTCTTCCTTCCGGTTCACTGTCTAATGATGCTTTTCCTGCTGCAGAGTCCAACTGCACTGTTTCAGACGTGGGATTGCCACGTCGCCAGCAGGGTATGCTTGGCCCCTCCCTGTGGGGACCCTCTGGCTAGTCAGATCCCAAAAGAAAATGAGTGCTTTTAGGAATGCCACTGTGCTGTAAATGTAAGTGTACAAATAGACTTGGACCATGTGAGGCTTGTGTGATGATACTGAGAGGCCATTTGTTTCCATACCACTGTTTTAAGCATTTGGGTTTATTAACTCATTTACCCAGATCTTCACTGTATCTTGAAAAGTGGATACTACTGTCAGTCCCATTTTATTTAGGAGGGAGAAAAAGGAACCATGCTGGATATCTATTATGTCCACAGTTTAACAGATACTCAGTCAACCAAAAGAGAGACTTTGAGTCTCTTGGGGATCCCAGAAATCCACCTTCACAAGAGCATTGGGCTTGTGCAGTTCCTCTCCATTTCTCCTAGTACCTGTTTAAGTATACTGGTGTTTTGAGGCCAAAATAATTGGGGTATGGCTTTGGCAGTATCACTTAACTGCACTACTAAAAATTCTTTGACAAACATTATTGAAGTCTAGTTCTCAGATGAGTGATTAAATGGTTGACTCTCTTGTCTTTCTTTGCTGCTAAGAATCACTGTAGTGAGGGTTAGTAAAGGAACTTTAGGTAAGACTGGGGGCACAAAGGAAGGAGACCTAGCTTTATCTCTGAGATACTAGGCTTGAAAGAAGAGGTGACATTGAGCCTATCCTAAATACTTAGCTTGGGAGAAAGATTGACCATTTCAGATAGAGGGAAAAGTGGAGTCCAAGCAGAAAGAAATTCTACTGCTGTGACTAGGTTATTGGGTTATGTGTAAGGAACAGCAAGAGAGGAAACTAAAAAAATTTTAGTGAGACCAGATTCAGGAGAGAATTCTGCAGAATCATCAGAATTGGGTTTGCCAATGCTAGTTCTGGAAACCATATAGAACCACTTCCATAGGGTTGGAAGGAGAAATTGGTAGCAGCAAAAACAATTAGAATTAAGAAAACTGTGCTTCTGTCCACAAAACAGAAGTAAGTTACAGGTGCCTAGTTAACAGTTTGAGGAAAGCGAAAGCAGAGAAAAACCTAGAAAGAAGCAGTATTGAAAAGTAAGGGAGAGTCAATCCATAAAAGGACAAATGAGAGCATTTCTAACTTTACGTTAGAAACTGAGGTGCAGAGATAAGAATTTACCCTATATCCCTTAACCAGGCTTGACTCCTTTAGTATGCATTTACTAGTACTGATGATAAAATCATTCTTAGCACATTAAGGATTCAGCTAACATTTGCTGAGCACTTCCTTTGTTGAGTCAGATACTGTTTTTAAAGCTGCATGTCCGCCTGGGAATACCGGGTGCTGTAGGCTTAAAATTAAAAAAAAATAAAAATAAAAAATAAAGCTGCATGTCTACTGTTGAACCCTTCAACAATCCTATGACATCCCCAATGAATACTGTCTCCAGATAACAGACTAGAGAACTGAATTGGAGAGCAGACTTTTAACAACTTACTCTAAATCACAGTAAATGAGTCATTAAGCCTAGATTTGTTGCTAGTCTAACACCAAAGCACATTAGATTGTTGATGATTTATTTTGGGTCCTGTAAATGAAGCTTTGTTGCTTTGATGTACTAGACTCCATTCCTGTTGATGGACTGATGGACATTATTGTGGCCTGTAGCACATTTTTCCCTTATTTTTTTTTAATAGACATTTGTTTTAATTTGATGAGTGCTGGGCTTTGAGTCAGAAAATACCATATCTGGCTTTTGAGAGGGACCTTGGGATTTTTTTCAGCCACCTACCTTTGACCTGTGTGTCAAAAACTCTTTGATTTTATTTTATACAGAAAGAAAACTTTCTGGGGAAATTCTTAGCACAGTTTGTTATCTGCTTTTCACTACTCCCAAATCCTTAAAGCTTTATACTTGCTTTAGTTTAGTAACTACATTTGAATGTTAAGATTCTATTACCTGGGTAGCCAGTCTTCATAGCTCCCCCTACAATGTGCCGTTTGTTTTAAGGTAGAACTTTGCACCACTAAAGTACTGCTTTCTGTAATTTGGGAAGGCCCTAGGGCTGATTAGGGAAATAGCTGCAGATCTCTCAGAACACTGTGCTCCTAACACCCTGGCTTGTGGTTCCTGCAATAGGTGTGTTTGCTGTGGCTGGCAGTGCCTACGCCGCTGGCAGTGCCTAGGCAAAGGCTTTGGGAGGTTGGGATTTCCTGTTTACTGAGGACTGCATGTATCAACACAAGCCTTCCAAGTTTGGATGTAAGAATGATATTCTGGGCTTTATCCTTAGATAAACAAGCTGCAGAAAGCTGTAGCCGCAGCACACACCTTCTTTGTGGGCAATCCTGAGCACATGGAGATGCGGCAGAACCTTGACTACTACCAAACCATGTCTGGAGTGACAGAGGCCGATTTCAAGGATCTTGAGGCCAAACCCCATATGGTGAAAAAGACTATCCTCTTCTCTCTCTGTCTCTCTTTTGTTTAAAGTGACATTCACTAGGATTGTTTCCTGATTACAGAAGTAGTAAATGTTCATAATACACCATTAAAAAACATAGAGAAGCATGTAACAAAGTAGTCATTGGTTAAAAAAAAAAGTAGTCATTGGTAATACTGTCATCTGAAGAAGACCAGTAATTAATATTTTTCCCCGTTTTTTTAAGTTTTCCATATTGAATTTCTTAAAACTGATTTGGTATTACATTGTGTATTTATATTTCATCATCCTTTGATCTGACATTTTTTTGTCCTCTTATATTTTAGTAGTTTGTAAATAAGACTGTTAGAGAGACTGTGGGCTGCGTAGCCCAGCAATAGAGCACATGCTTAGCATGCGCAAGGCCCTGGCTCCAGTCCAACACCAAGGGAAAGAAAGAGAATATTAGACATACCATCAGAATCAAAGTGACACCCCTGCACCCCACCCACCATCACCATGGAGTTGGGAAGCAACATCCTCAATCCCAGAAAGATTTTTTTTTCAAGACAGCCTCACTATGTAGTTTAGGCTGGCCTTGAACTCATTTATGGAACCCAGGCTGGCCTCAAATTTGCAGCAATTTTCCTGCCTCAGCCTCTCAAGTGCTGGATTATAGGCATTTGCCACCACACATGGCCCCAGAGTGACTTTTAAAAGTATATTATGGGTGGCTGGGGATTTAGCTCAGCGGCATAAGCGCCTGCCTTGCAAGCAGGCAGTCGTGAGTTTGATCCCTGGTACCAATAAAAACAAAAAAGACCAAAAAAAAAAAAAAGTATATTATGGATGGCCAGGGATACAGCTCAGCAACACAAGCACCTGCCTGGCAAGCACAAGGTCAGGAGTTTGAGTCCCAGTACCATAAAAAAAGTATGTTATGGGGCTAGAGCTGAGGCTCAGAATAGAATGTTTGCCTTGCATGTAGGAGGCCTTAAGGTGAATCCCCAGTACCTACAGAAAACTATAAAATTACAATGAAGTCCTATAAATCTTTCAACCAGATTACAAGTTAAATGTTTATGAATTTCAAGAAGAACATGTAAAGCCCATTTACAAAAGACCTTCATGCACCAGGTATGGTGGGACACGCTTATAATCCCATCAGTTAGAAGGCTGAGGCAGGAGGATCACAGATTTGAGATCAGCCTGGGCTACATAGCAAGTTCAAGGCTGGCCTGACTGACAGCAAGATGCTACCTGAAAAACCTAAGCAAACAGCCTTTATTGTGTAGCAGTCACCCTACTTTCCGCTTTCCATCTATAACTGAGGAGTAAGCATTAGGACCCAGGGGACGAGGGCAAGACGCATGTGGCATGAGTTTGAGTGCTCCTTCCCCCCAGTAGCATGAGTTCCGGCTCGGAGTGCGACTCTACTCGGAGGAGCAGCCACTGGAAGCTGTGCACCACTTGGAGTTGGCGCTTCAGGAGTACTTCGTTGCTGATGAAGAGTGCCGTGCCCTCTGTGAGGGGCCTTATGACTATGATGGCTACAACTACCTGGAGTACAACGCTGACCTCTTCCAGGCCATCACAGGTGCTTGCTGTTCATGCCCACCTCTGCCAAGTCTCCCAGGGCTAAAAGTTTGTTGTCTTGATGACACAGACAGAGCAGCTGCAGCCTCATTCCTTGCTAAATTTCTAAGTCTGGGAATCTGGCTAAAAGTTGTTTCCACTTGAACTTGTCCCTAATAACCAGAATTTGAATCCTAAAGTGTGACTTTCTAGTCGTTTCTCATCTTAGATTCCTTTCAGATCACTATGTCCAGGTCCTCAGCTGTAAGCAAAACTGTGTCACCGAGCTGGCTTCCCATCCAAGTCGAGAAAAGCCCTTCGAAGACTTCCTTCCATCGCATTATAATTATCTGCAATTTGCCTACTATAACAGTAAGACTTGCCTTCTTTCCTTCCTCTCTGCTGCCTTAATTTAGAAGTTAAGTCAGAACCAGGTGTGTTGGTATACCCCTGTGATCTCCGCACTTGGAAGCTGAGGCAGGATTTCAAGTTTGAATGCAACCTGAGCAATTAAGCAGCTTAGTGAAACCCTATCTGAATAAAAAGCAAAAGTAGGACTGGGGATGTAATTTAGCCAGAGCCTCTGGGTTCAATCCCTGTACTGCAAAAAAAATAATAAAACAAAAAACACTAAGCTATCCAGGTAGGGTTTACAGCCACTGTACCTCCTTAACATGGCTGGCTTCTTTCTGGGCTTTGGAACTCTAGGACCTATGTCTCTTATCCTATCACATTTATAATCTAAATTTGCATTTGAATTAATAACAAAAGTAAGGGTGTACAGCTCTTCAAAGCAGTTTACAGGATGTTTTCAGCCATCCTATCTAGGAGAACACTGCTGCTCTTGAGGGCTTGTCAATACCCAGACACTCAACAAACCAGCAAGTCTTTACCGAGTTCTTGCCCAGAGTGTTACAGCCTATTCAGAAATACACAATGTCAGTAGTTTGAGTTGAGACCAACAAGAACTGTTCTGCCAGAGAGGTATGATATGTCTTTGAAATCTTCCTCCCCCTTCTCAAATTCCATGGGAAGAAAGGTAAGAAGATGAGAATACTTCTGACTAATGATCACCAGGTATGTTAGGGCAGGATATTGGCAAGTATTTTAATTACAGAGATGGGCAGGCAGATAAGCCTTAATTCTTTCCTGTTTCTTTTTTTTTTTTTTTTTTTTGAATTTTTTTTTTAATTTTATTTAAGGAGAAAAGAAAAAAAAAAAGCAGGGAAAGGGTACAAGTTATACAGATTTACAGAAAAAAAAATGAACAGTAGGAAATCACAAGTTAATGGATTACATATTGTCATCTTAGAAATAATTGTTCAAGTCACAAAATTAAAGCTTGTAAAGTGGACATTCCATCAATGATACTGCAAACAGTTCTGTTCATTGATCCAATAAAACTCTGTGATATCAATCTCTATCTTATACACTTAAATATACATGCAGTTATATAGTTTGGAGCACTTTCTTTTCCTCTCTTTTGTACCATGACTATTACACATTTTGGGTTTCATTGCTCCCACGGTTCTTATTACTTTTTTGGAAGAGAGTAAAACCAAATGTGACATAACAGAACAGAATCGGTCAAGTCAAAAGGGTGGACATAATAGATAATGTAAAAACATAATACAAGGTGATCAACAATGGTTACCATAATGCCTCCCGCTATCTCTAATAGAATTGCCTATATCATTAGTTATAATACAATTGAACAAAACAGTAAAGAATAAAACCGACAAAACCAAAACATTGGAGACATTGTAGGTCTTCAAAAGTAGATAAAAGTCAACAAGAATGGGCGTCATAATGAATCTCATTATCTTCACAGCTGATGCCTAAACTTTCGAACCTGATACTATCCAGCAAAACAGAATAGGGGAACATCAGTCAAAAACAAGATGGTGAGAGTAATACAGGGCTTTAAATCAAGGTAATGAAAAGTCAAAGTGGGTTACTATACTATATCCTGCTATTTTTTTTCCTTTAATTAAAAGGATAAAGATAAAAAAGTAAATAATGGAGTGGAGATTGAGATAAAAGAGGGCATAACAACGAAACAGCGCAGATCAAAACATAACCATTTAAGCAGAATAGTGTTTCACCACCAGATAATCCTAACCTAAAAGTAGTTACCATATTGTTTCTTTCTTTGAAATCCTTGAGTACAACTTCGTATACTGTAGCATTAAGTATATCAAAACAATGTAAAACCATTCAAGAGAATGACAGCATTACAGAGTATTTAGAATCGACTAACAGAAAATGAACAATGGTTTCTGTGTAATCTCCTTGTCTTTAAAAGGTTTTTGCTTATACTATCGTACATAATAAAATCCAATAAGATACAGCCTATTTAGACCATTGGAGACAGAAGGACAAAAGCTAGATGAGACTTCAAAACAAGATGATACTAAATCAGTATTACCTATTAAGATGTCATTTTCTCCAAAATAGCTGTTCCTATCATCCAATCTTCTCTGCCTCATTTCTGTTAAGCTCTTTTTCTGTCAGTAGCTGTCAGTTTGTCTTCTTCATTTTGTTCTCTGCTCCATTCGCTGTGGCCTCTCTGCCATTATTTCTGGATTCTTTGTATTTTTCTTTTTTTAGAATATCCTGCAATACTCTCTGTAGAGTTGAATTGGTGGTTGCAAATTCCCCCAGTTCCTCTTTATCCTGGAAGCACCTTGTTTTTCCATCAATTTCCAGGGACAGTTGTGCAGGATATCTCAATCTTGGCTGGAGATTATTATCTTTCAATGCTTGAATTATTTCCCCCCACGCTCTTCGTGATTTGATGGTTTGTTCAGAGAAATCTGCTGTAATTCTGATGGGTGTTCCCTTGTAAGTGGTCTGTTTCTTGTCTCTTACAGCTTTTAATATTCTGTTCTTGTATTGAATTTCTGGAATTTTTATTATTATATGCCTGGGTGTTGCTCTGTTTGGGTTGTAGGTAGCTGGGGTCCTGTATGCCTCATACATCTGAGTATCTTTACCTTTTGCTAAATTAGGAAAATTCTCCTGGATTATTTCTGTGAGTAGCTTTTGTAGTTCACTTGTTTGTGTCCCTACTTCTTCTTTTATGTTCTTAATCCTTAAGTTATGGATCCTCTTATCATCTTCTTGTCTTTGTATTATTGCTGTTTGTTTCTTTGTTATTTTTAAGAAGTTTTTCATTTCATTCTCCCATATTACAAGTCTGCCCTCCAGTTCAGATAGTCTGTCCTTAGTTTCTTTCAAGCTGTTATGCCAGTCTTCTATAGACTTCTTAGTATCTTGGTAGTCCCTTTGAACCTGCTTCACGTATTCTATGCTTTCTCTGTTTTCTCCATCAAACAATTCTCCCCTTTTTTTCTGTTCTTCCATTCCACCACCTGTTTTTTCTTGGGTGGTACTTAGCATTTCTCTAACTATTCTGCATACTTCTAGCTTCAGGTCATTGATAACTTCATTCCTGAATTGGTCTATGAGGCTCTCTATATGGTGCCTTATGTGTATTGGTGTGGTGTCTGCTATTGCCTGTTTCTCAGAATTGGAGGCCGAGGAGCCTTTCTTGTTGCTGCCTCTTCCCATGCTGCCTCTTCTTCTCTGTTCCTTATATATGCAAGCTTATATAAGAGGCCCAGCTTCTCTCCCAGTCAGCCACAGCCTGATCGAATTGCGCCAGTTAGTTGTTCCCGCTCACCGCTGCGCACCAGGGAGTTACGGACCAGGCAGCCTACGCGTTTCCCCTCCCGGCCACCGTCAGGCTCTGGGATCTGGGTTGGGACAGCCTACCAGGTCCGCTGGCAGCGTCACGCAGGCCAGGCACTTTTCACCAATCCCGCCCGAGAGGGGGATGTGTGGCTGGAGTCGCCACCACGCCCTGCTCCCGCAGGACTGCTCGGGCCCAGAAAGTCCTCCGCTGGAGTCAAACTGTGGTAGAGTGTCAGTTTCTCTCACTCACCTCACCACAAGTCAGTGCACGCCTCCCTGCCGTTCGCAGATTGCCGTTCTCAGAGCTTCTGCGTGTCTCTTTCCTTGCTGAGCCACTGTAGAGGCAGCCAGCCGCCGCGCGGCGGGAAACCCAAATCGCGGCTTACAATGGCGCAGTTCCAGCCTCCGCACCGAGGCTTTTCTGTTCCTGTTTTAGCACCAGGACTGCATTCCAAGTTGGCTTCTCTCAGCCCAGTTCGTTTCTGAGTCAGCAGAGCATATCTCCACCTGCCTATGTCTCCTTAGTCCGCACCATTCCTGGCTTCTGAGCCGAGTCTTTCAGAGAGCCTCCAGTAGTTGCTGTTATCTGTCCGCCATGTTCTCCCGGAAGTCAATTCTTTCCTGTTTCAATGAAGACATGAGACACCCAAAAATCAGTTACATAGTCTGCATACTTTATAACTTCTGCCCTCAAGTCAGGCCATTGTACTAGATAACAAGCAAGTACCACTTTGACCTACTGTGCCTCAAGCTTCACTGAGACTGCACACTATGTGGCTTTTGGTTCCCTGGATTACACCCTTTCCTCTAAGCCAGTTTTTCTTGCTTTGCAGTTGGGAATGTCACACAAGCTATTGAATGTGCCAAGACCTACCTCCTCTTCTTCCCCAGTGATGACGTGATGAACCAGAATCTGGCCTATTATGCAGCTATGCTTGGAGAAGAGCAGGCCAGCGCCATTGCCCCCCGCAAGGTGAGGTTTGCTTCATGGGGGGTGACTGCCAGCTGATTCTAACCAGACGGGGAAAGAGTGAGATTGCAGAGGGGCACAGGGACACAGGCTGTGGTGGTGCCTGGGTTCATGTGCAAGGAATAGATTCTGGTCACCATGCACCAGCCACAGGCCACTGCATAAGTCAGTTCATGGCAGCTGTGCTGATTAAATAAGATGATGGGCCACTCTGCTCAGGATTTGACCTAGACAGGACCTCAACAAATGCTAGCTACCTTCTTTCCAGGAGAACTGTAGTTAACAATGGTAAACTTGCCATATGGATTATTGTCTCTCTCTATCCCGAACTCACTCATATAATCATAGAGGAGAAAAAGAAGATGCATATGTGTATGTATGTGTGTATGTTAAGCAAGACAGGCTGGGAGTGCCATCTCACAACAAGATGGTCAGCATCTAGTGGTCAGAGAGGTCAGCTACACGAAAGTGGGTCTCCACATAGGAGAGGCTGGCAGAAGTATTTCGTTGCTTTGCCCTCAGTGCTGGCGTGGTTCCTGATACATCACAGGCACTCAGTAAACCAGCACTGAGTGAATATGGGACAGAAGTGGGGTTTATTCTCTAGTAGTCTAATTGAATTGCTGGAGGAGGTTAAATGAGATAGCACACGTGGCTTGGCATCTAGCACTAGGTGAAAGGGGCAAATATTTAAACTCCTAAGGGAGAACTTGGGTTTGAGTGTAGGTCTCTGCTCCCCTAGTTCCCTTCTATCACCGTAAACAAGAGGCACATCCCCTCTGCCCTTCGTTTCCCCATCTGTTGAATGAGGACAGCAGTGTCGCTGCAGGGTGGTTAGGGTTAGCACGGTGGTAAAGACTGAACGAACAACAGGGAGTTGCCTGGCACCTGAGTTCCTTGCCTGAGCATAGCTTGCTGCAGTGTCAAGGGGGCTTCTGCCCCTGTGAAGTATCTTTCCACCTCCCTGAGGGTCACCAGATTTTCTTCCTAGAGATTAGTTGGGGCTGGGTTAGGGGAGAAAGGAGGGCTTTTCCTCCAAGGGCAACCTGTTACACCACTTTCGGAAGTTTCACTTGTGCCAGGCAGGAGGAAGGAACCCTTGAGCACAGAAGAGCGGCCTTTGTCCCCACTGGGGAGCAGACCTATCATGATGGTGGGGAAAGGACGCCTCAGCCACACAGAGAGCAGAAGGCCGCCCAGGGCCCAGCTCCAGGGGCTCCTCTTCTCATTTCCTCAGAGTGCCCAGGAGTACCGCCAGCGCAGCCTGCTGGAGAAGGAGCTGCTTTTCTTCGCTTATGACATTTTTGGAATTCCCTTCGTGGATCCGGTGAGCCCCAGTGGGGGCTGGAGAGGGAAGTGGGGCAGCACTGAGGGGCCGGGGGGCGGTGCAGCCCTGGGGAGTCCAAGCCAGAGGCAAGTGTAGGATGTGTGGACCTTGAGGATGAGTGACAGCAGGAGGATGGAGGAGGATCCTGGGCCGCAAGAGCTGCCACCTCGTCTCCTACAGGGAGCAGGTGATGAGGCAGATTGCCTCTAGGGGCCCTGCCTCACACCTTGAGACCTGAAGATACGCTATCCCTCTGCCTGCTTGCAGGACACATGGACTCCCACAGAGGTGATCCCCAAGAGACTGCAAGAGAAACAGAAGTGAGGCCCTTGAAGAAACTGCATGATTGGATCGGTCTGACGAAGCACTTGAGGCTTCCTGTGCCCAGGCAGATGGGAACTCCTGGCCATGGGTGGGGGGGTCCAGTGTGGGAAGCTGGGTGGGAGCACAGGGCCAGCCCAGCCCAATCCCCAGAGCTGCTGTGCTTACAGGTCTGAACGGGAGACCGCCGTGCGCATCTCCCAAGAGATTGGCAACCTCATGAAGGAGATCGAGACCCTGGTAGAAGAGAAGACCAAGGAGTCCCTGGATGTGAGCAGGCTGACCCGGGAAGGTGAGAGGCTGGAGTGTGGCGCACATCAGGTCAGGCAGGTCACACGGTGGTAGTGGGACTTACCTTTGCCTCGGCAGCTGTCCTAACTCACCGAAGGGACTTCTGCCCGAGTCTAGGTCTTTAGCCAGGAAAGACTTCTGTGTGTTTACTCAAGCAGAAGTGGCCCAGACTGGTACTGTACCTCATTCCAAACTCTTTTTCTCTTAACTTTTTTAACTCTTACCAAGACTCAAAATCATCCAGCCTCGCTGGCTCTCTTCCTCCTCTGCCCCTGCCTCCAGTCCAGGGAGGCCTCAGTGATGGCTCCACTCAGCTCTTTCATCTTTCCCACCTTCTTCCTTTCCCGTTGCTTCGGGCCTCCTTAGGCCACATCACCTCCTGTGTGTGCCCCTCTCTCCTGGTCCCACCTGCCCTTCCCCCTTCTCACACACACAGGTGCCAGGCTCACCTTCTGGGCACTGGGACCCTGAGCCCAAGCTCCCCTCCTTTTTACCTGTCTTCACCTGCTAACCCCTGCTCTGCATCAAGTGGAGTGCTCTTTATTCCTGGGCCTGCGCTCAGCCCACACATTCTGCTTCCTGCTGTCCCTCCTGATATGCTTGCCTTCCCACTGTCTGTGCCTGTGAGGTCTGCATAATTGTCCTACAGAGCCTCCATAACTTTCCTCTCTGTACACTTCTGAGGGCATTGCAGCCTGCTTGCACTGGGCGTTGTGTGACTGTGTCTGTGTGTGTGTGTGTGCACCCGCACACATGCCTGTGCTGTACTTGGGTGTTACTCACTCACCTCACCACCTTGCGCTCACTGACCCTCAGTGTAGAGATGGGGTTGAATCAGTTCTCTAGAATGTCCCCAGCACAGAGACATCAAAGAACCGTAAGGAAAAATGGTGGCCTTTGTCCTGCCATTGCTTCTCATAACTACCTGACAGGTGGGTTAAGCAGATTGTTAAAATCTTTATTTTACATAGATGGTGACAGTGATGTTGATAGTGCCTACACAACATTAGCCCTCATTTTGAGTGTTTGCTATAAGTCAGATACTATCCTAAGTTCTTTAACTTGCCTTATTTATTGTTAACATGAAACTTACAACTAGATGTTTGAAAGATAAGAATTTAATTAATTTAATCAACCTCAAAGAGATTGAGTAACTTAGCTCAGGTCATGCAACTAATCAGCGGAGGATCCAGGAAGCTGATTCCAGAGCACAGATGTTAAAATGTGATTATGATGTTTACTCAGCTGTACACAAAAGCCCAAGGGCCAGCAGCTATGTAGTGGCAAAGTGAAGACCAGGATGTAGGTCTCATCTTTAATTCCAAGTCCTATCCTCTGGACCGCCTTCCCTGTGGAGGTGACTGAGGGAAAAGTTTTCCAGAAAATAGGAAACAACTGGAATTTTGATTCCTGACAAACAGGTCATGAGAAGAGCTACTGTAGGACTTAGCCAACCTTTTTGCTTTGCAGGAGGGCCCCTGCTGTATGATGGCGTCAGTCTTACCATGAATTCCAAACTCTTGAATGGCTCCCAGCGGGTGGTGATGGATGGCGTGATCTCTAACGCAGAGTGCCAGGAGCTGCAGAGACTGACCAATGTAAGAGAAGCCCAGCTACTGCCCGCCCTAGGGGTACAGTGGGCCCCTTCCACGGCCTCTTAGAAACTGAGCCTGTGCCTGCCCTTTGCTTCCCACAGCCGGCCTCCCTCTTCTCAGGCCTTTAGCTGCCCTGGCTAACTTCACCTTGTCTTTGGACCTTGTAGGCAGCAGCAACTTCAGGAGATGGCTACCGAGGCCAAACCTCCCCACACACCCCCAACGAAAAGTTCTATGGTGTTACTGTCTTCAAAGCCCTCAAGGTATAAAAGTAAGGTGTGGGCCTCCTGGAGTGTGAGAAGAGGGGTATCTGACTCTCTGAGGGGGAGAGGAAAGGGGAGTTTCAGGTTTGGGGAGGAACTGGGGACCATGGCAGAAAAGGAAAAGGAGTCTTACTGCTGACATTCCATTGCCGTGGGGTGGGAATAAGTTATGAATGAGGTTAACATGGATCCGGGCGATTGCACCAAGTATGATAAAATGGGATGAGCGAGACAAACTGATCGCCAGAGCTATGCGATGCAGTCTGAAGAAGGGTGCATCCCAAAGGTCCATTTTCCCCAGCAGGTGCGCAGGTTGTTCATGATAAGTACAAGGAGGGAGAAAAAATATGGGGGTGTCAGATGTGAGGAGCAGAGAGACTACACCCTCACAGGAGCCTGGGGGCTTCTTGAGACATGGGGTCTCAGACCTCATTGTCCCTGGTAGCGCACAGGACATTAAGGGGAGCTGACGATTGGTCTCCTTGGCAGCTGGGGCAGGAAGGGAAAGTTCCTCTGCAGAGTGCCCATCTGTACTACAATGTGACCGAGAAGGTGCGGCGCATCATGGAGTCCTACTTCCGCCTGGACACCCCCCTCTACTTCTCCTACTCCCACCTGGTGTGCCGCACAGCAATCGAAGGTGGGCCTCGTCACCCTGCAGCCTTAGGCTCTGAGCACACCATGCCCACAGTGCTGGACCCTGAGGACAGGGACAGAAGTGGGATGCTGTCCCTTCACACTAGTCAGGGAATCCGCACACAGCCTGGCTGCAGCCCGGTGTGCCGAGAACAGTTGTAGCTTCAGGGGAGTCACAGTGACCCACCTGGCAGCCAGGAAGCCTCCCTGGAGAGGTTGTGGCAGTTGATAGGCTGAGTACATTGTGGGAGTTTCCGAGGGGCCATGTAGGTACAGTACCCCAGTAACTGAGGGTACTAAGAAAGTTTTCAGATTATGGAGTATGTCTGGAGTTTGTGGTTTGTCTCTTAAGTCAGTCATAGGCTGTGTTGCAAGCTCTCTGCTGCTGTTAAATGCCAGGTTTCTGGGAGAGCTGTGTAATTGTCAAGTCAGAGAAGGTACCAGATTATTTTGCATTCCCTCAGTCTCGCAGCGGTGAGGTGCAGCTAGGCCGTAGGCCTTATATGTGGCCTGCAGTGGGCTGTGTCATGCCATCACCCTCGGTGGACCCCTGACACTGACATGCCCTTGGTAGGTGGCTTCTCTCTCCCTCAGGATGTTCAGGGTTTCTGCAAGTCTAGGCACAGCCAAAGAAATGTGTCAGACATAAGACTTGTGTCACAGAGCCTTAAGGTAGGGGAACACTGGTGTAGCCAGCAGGGAGCCAGGGTAGGATCATCAGACAGCGAGGGACTCTGCACAGCCTCTGTTTTCAGAAGGTTAGTTTTACTGCTGCTGCTTTTGAAGATTCGGTGATTGTGAACCAGACATAAGGCTGGGCTCAGGAGTAAGCTAGAAGGACAAGGACGATGGCTTGATGCCATGACCTGGAAGCAGGAGTAGAGAGAAGAGAAGCCATGGCGGGGGGGATGAAAGGGCCCAGTGATTGGCTGGACAAGTAGGGGCAGCTGAGGGGTCAGTTCCATCCCCACGCCGTGTGTGCTGGGAAGGTGTGTCCTGTGTCCAGAGCTGTCTGCTGGCATCGTACAGTAAGCCCAGCTGTTCTCCTCTGTGTCCTCCTGCTCCCAGTGCCCCCTCCAAAATTGCCTCCTCGTGTGTCACCTCTCCTATAGGCCCTTCCTCTCCTCCCGCATAGCTGCTGCAGGAGTCACTCACTGGATTGTACCTGTTGCCCTCCTGATTCCTTGTGTTCACGTCTCTGCACCTTCCTGTTTTGTGGAGTTGAACCACCAACAGGGTTAGGCCACTTGGTCCAGGATCTGCCTTATTGGAATCCTTCCCTGCTTCCCCAGCAGCAGCCTTGTCCCAACCCCTAAACTGTGGCTTAGACAGAGAACCCCCACACTGTTCATGACTCGAGCACATTTTGGGGAGAACCCACATACCCCATGCCAGTGAGAGAACTACAGTGTCTCCCACATGCCCCAGCACTAACCCAGGTTACCTTGGCTGCAGAGACGCAGGCTGAGAGGAAGGACAGCAGCCATCCAGTCCACGTGGACAACTGCATCCTGAATGCTGAGACGCTCGTGTGCGTCAAGGAACCCCCAGCGTACACATTCCGGGACTACAGGTGAGTGAGTGCAGGTGGCAGGTGTGGCGCAGGTGGCCTGTGAGGCCCCAAGTCCCTCTACTCTGCCGGTTCGCCCTCAGCACACAGTATGTGCACAGGTCAGGGGCAGAGGAGTGTGACAAGTAGGACTGTGCAGCGGGACTTGGCACAACAGCACCCAGATGAGCAGGAGGGACTCCAGAGGCAGTGGTGGGAACTGGAAGGGCTGCAGGCTCTTCTTGGCTTTGGAGAATCGTCTTGAAGCTGCTTTCCTGTGCAAGGGCACCGTGCAGCTGCTGGACAGGCACGAGATGGTGAAGGCAGAGGGAGGAAGGGTCATGTTGGGGTGTGTTGCCTTTCCCAGTGCCATCCTCTACCTAAACGGGGACTTCGATGGAGGAAACTTCTATTTCACCGAACTGGATGCCAAGACTATGACGGTGAGTGCCTCTTTGTTTCTGTTCCTGGAGCTGATGTCCAGTGCATAGAAAAACCACCTGGGCTTCCCTGAGGCCAGTGCCCCTTCCCCAGCCCAGGGGCTCTGAGATATTTGTACCCTAACTGCCGCTGTCCCAGGCCTCCAAGAAACCAAGCTAAAGTTGCCCGTGGCTTTTCTGTCTTTCCCCTGTGTTCCCCTCATTTTGACTCCTGTAGGCAGAGGTGCAGCCCCAGTGTGGAAGGGCAGTGGGATTCTCTTCAGGCTCTGAAAACCCACACGGAGTGAAGGCTGTCACCAGGGGCCAGCGCTGTGCCATTGCCCTGTGGTTCACCCTGGACCCTCGACACAGTGAGAGGGTAAGAACTGATCTGGTCGTGGGAGGGTCCTGCTTCCACTTCCTCCTCCCCAAATCCTGCTGCTGGAGGTGTGGTCACAAGGAGCACTGGACTTGGGACTCCCAGCTCCAGCACCGTCACTGTGGTCACGCTGCCTGATCCTCCCTAGACCTTTCTCCTTACCTGTCGGCAGGGCCCAGGTGGGATGGGGTCTGAGCAAGGAGTGGTGCTGAGTCCTCGCTTCTGTACTTGGGCATAGCTCAGCTGTCTACCTGAGGGTGCAGGGGCTGCCGGGAAGGAGGGGTGTGTGGAGGCTGCAGGGCAGCACCTGCATTGCCCTTGAGGAAGCAGCAGCTGGAGGAGGGCAGGTACCTGGCCCCAGCCCCTCTGAGAGGCAGGGTTTGTGCTTGCAGGACAGAGTGCAGGCAGACGATCTGGTGAAGATGCTGTTCAGCCCAGAGGAGATGGACCTACCCCAGGAGCAGCCCCTGCACACCCAGGGGGACTCACCCCAGCCTGGACAGGAGTCCGCCATGGGCAGCAAGATGAAGCACAAGGACGAGCTGTGACAATGCCAGGTCGCAGAAGGACCAGCGATGGGACCATGGGGAGAAGCTCCATCCTGCTGCAGGCCATGGAGCAGGGGGCACCTTGGACTGCTACCCAGCAGAGGGCATCCTGCTCATCATCTTCCCTGTGGTGCTGCTGTTGTTGGAGTGGACCTAGAAGGACACCACTCCTCTCTGGGCCTGGCTAAAGGCTTGGGACTTGGGCCAGAGCCACCAAAGGGCTTGCACAGGCAACTGTGTGACAGCAATAAAATATTTAAGTGTCTCTGTAGGCAGCCAAAGAATACATGATGGGTGGGTTCTCGTTTGGTTTGTGGAGAGTGGAAAGATGCTCCTCCTGCCCCAGCAGCTACGTGACAAACTGCTGTGGGCAGGGTGCAGTGGCCTGTGTGACACTAGAAGTCCTGGCTAGAGCCCAATCCAGCCTCTTCCAGACACCTAGCCAGGTACTCTGAAGTTGTCTGTGTAACAGGGGTCATAGTCCGCACTCTGCCCACCTTCCTGAGTGACTGTGTAACCCAGGTACAGTGCTAGAGATGGTAGCACTTTATGAACTGGCTGAATGGCTGGGGTTATCACTAACCCTCTTGTGGCAGAGAGAGGCAGTCAACAGTGTTGTGGCATGTTGTCCCCATGGTACCCACATGCTTCCTGCTCTGCTGGTTGGCCTGAGAGCCACATTTCAGGGCTTCCCTGTGCCAGATGACACTGGTAGGACACAGTGTGCAGCTGGAGATTCAGCCCCTGGCCGTGTCCCTAGCACTAAGCCCATCACCTTCCCTGTGCTGGAGATGTCAGGGCAGGAAGAGCAGAAACCTGCACTCTGAGGAGTCCTTTAGTCAACTAATGTCTACACATTGAGCATCAGCTAAGTTCCTGGTGCTGAAAATATAACAGGGCACAAAACAAGCCTCAACTTTATAGACTGTCTGTTTTGTAGGGGAGACAAATAATAAACTATAATGTATGTGATTATTTTTGTGTGTTTAATCCTTGGAAGTAGAAAAGAAAGCAAGTCAGGTCCCTGAGGCAGGTGGAATAGCCAGGAGGCCAGCAAAGTAGTACAGTGGGCCATAGGGGTGAGCAGGGAATACGTGGGTGCCCCAGCAGTGGTGACATCTGACGTGGTAAAGGGCTTCATGCACAACATGGAGGCTAGGCTGTGGGCGCAGGGAGACCCGTGAAGGACGGCCGAGCCATTGGGGAGAGGAAAAGATGGCTTGGGCCAGGGTGGGTGATAAAGGCAGCAGCAACCAGGCTCTAGGTCTGGTCTTAGCACGGTGCTAACAGGAAGTGCTGATGGATTGCCATGAGCGGTGAGGAAGGCACCCAGAAGCCTAAGCAGCTGGACAACAAGCTGCCTCTTCCTCCCATAGCAGCCTCCGGGGAAGACACAGGAGCAACTGGTGTGTGTAGGAACCTGGAGTTTGGTGTAGATGTGCAAATAGGGCTGGAGGGTGGTGGGACCCTGCTGAGAGCCAGGGGGTTAAGAGAGATGACATCCTGGGGTCTGACGAGGGTATCAGGAGGGAGTGTGGTGTCACACATTTCCTAGGGCGTAAGCATGTCAAGAGGGAGGATCCAACTTCGGATTCAGAAGCAAAGAGTTTAGGCAGCACTTCAGCAAGCAATGCCTGGCAAAGGTGGAGTGGGTGAAAGATGGACTGGCAGAAACTGAGCTGGGCAGCTTGGTCCAGGTATTTGGTGCTAAGCACAAGCAGATGAGCTAGAAAGAGACGTGGTCATGAAGAGATGGTTTTTCTAGCTAGGAGACAGCATTGCATGTTGGTTTGCCACAGGGAATGATCCGGTCCAGGGACTCACCCTTCCTTTCATCATCATTGTTCTCCATGTCCTGTCTAGGTGACTTACTCACCAGGCAGAGTTAGACCACGTTAAAGGACAGTGCACAAACTTTATCCATGCCCTGAGCAGAGTGACTGTCACTTTCCCACTTGGAGTTGTGTGACCTTCAAATTGTGCAGCCTCTGGGTGTGTCTCTTCCCCAAGACAATGGAATCATAGTCCTTACTGCTCAGGACAGCTGAGGGTACTAATAGGGGATGCTCACAAAGCACCCAGCACAATGCTTAGCACACGGTAGAAACCAACATAGCAGAAATCTACATCAGCCATATTCTGATTTTCTAGAAGTTTCTACATCAAAGCAGATGACCTTTTCAGTTTCAACGTGTGCTAACCACACAGACACTGTCTTTGTTGAGCTCACAAAAGGCCAAATGTTTTCAATAGCAACAGGACCAAAGCAAGTGTATGCTATCAGGCTGGAGCGAGTTACCCCAGAAGCAGGAGTGATGGCAGGGGACCGGCTGAGATTCAGTTACATGCTAGATCCCTGCTTGGAAAATATAAGTAAGGGCATGCCTGTGACAGGAGGAAGTTGGCTTGAGATGGAAGGAGAGAGCTCACGGGAGCAGTAAAGGGGATGAGAGGAAACCTAGCAAACCCAGGGAGATTTGGGCAAGATAGCCCTGGGTCTCAGTAACCCAAGGCTTCTCACAGAGCTCTCAGCAGGGCGCCAGAGACCTCTGCACACAGAGCCAAAGGGCACATTGAGCTGTGCCATTGTCACAGAAGTTTCCTTGTCCTAGGTTAGTGGGACCCAAGAAGCTGTTAGACTGACCTCAACAGGAAGGAGGTCAGTCGGACCCTAAAAGTGCAGTGAATGGGAATCTGCAGAGCATCACGAGCTTCCAGATCAGCATGCTCAACCATGGCTGGGTGACCACTGTATGTGCAATCTGAGGTAAGTCCTCTCTGCTAGGCCTGTGATGGCCTGGGAACCTCATACTCAAGTTAAGGATAGTAAGACCATCACCACTTCCGAGCTTCCAGAGTTGCCCTTGGTGGCTGCAGAGAATGGGACAGATTACAATGGACTGAATGAGTCAGACGCGCCTAACTGACCATGGAAAAGGCCGATGGCAAGGTCTCTATTTCATTAGGGAGGAGACAAAAACATTTCATCTTCATATCCATCAGTCAGTCATCACACCTACCACTTCTTGGCCAAGTGCTATTACTGAGAATGTGGTGCTGGGTCTTTAGCTACAGGCAGTCTACCTCTCCCAGGACTAGAAGATATGAGTGGACCTCCATCCAGATGGGTCTTTGCGAAAGCTTCCACTAGCCAAGGTCCATTTGGCATATTATGTGTTCCTGCAGCATTTCTCACCTACTCCGGAAGTACAGCTAGAGCCGTCAGCCTCTTGTAACACAAGGAAAAGCACTTTTTAAGTGATATGACCCAGAGAAGTTGCAGATAGGTCTTGTGGGAGAGAGGCTGGGTGGGAGCCTGAGACCTCCTGTGTTCCCTGCATGCCTGGCAGTCACCAGGCTACTTGAGCCATCAGAAAGGGTAGGTGCCTGGGACATGGGTTAGGAGGAACCACTCTAGAAAAGACATGAAATTTACAAGTCTTCAAACATTGTGACTGGGGCCATCAGGGTAGGAAAGCCTTTTTTTGTGCAACAGACTCAAAACCTCAACAAGAAGGGATAAACAAAAGAGCTTCAATGGAGGATGCTGGCAACAGAGGCCCTGGGAAGCACAGGATAGAGGAACAGACAGGGCTCCTGGGACTTCTGGGGCCTCACAGCTGCCAGACTTTGACCCTTGTGGCAGATTTTTCTCTGGCCCTCAGCTCTCCGTTATCAACAGAGGGAGCTGCAGGTGGTTTCTGAGGCTTCGGGTGGCTCTGACACTCCATTTCTGTGTGGCCTGGAGGCTCCAGAGCTCAGACGCCTGACTTGGGCCTCCTGAGACTCCAGTGACCCCTGTGTCTTCCTCAAAGAGAAGCACTTAAAAAATATTCAGGGGAAGAGCACAAGACCCAGCTCAGGCAGAGAGGAGGGCTTGCCTTTAGGAAGAGCATACTCCAGGGGGCTACAGATCCTGCCTTCCCCAGATATCACATACCTTGTTCAACCATCACAGTTCTGTGAGACAGAGGTGTTTAGAGATAAGGACACGGTGGCTCCATGGTCAGGCTCAGGTGGTCTATAAGGAGCATCTTAAGGCTGCTGCCCTCCCAATTTGGACCAGGGGCCTCCCTCAGAAAGGCAAGGGAATGGAGAGAGACCAGGAACTGGCACCACAGGCATACCAGAGAAGCCTCTCCTGCTGTTCCCCAACAGGCCAACCCCCCAACCCAACCCAGGGGGAGCTTGCCTACCTAGGAGGCCCCCTGGAGTGTTAGAGGAATATTTAACACAAGAAACACCAATCACAGCGTGCCCACATGGTCCCCAGGAATCTTGGGGTTTTGTCCCCTTCCCTGTTCCGGATTCTAGCAACAGGCTCTACTCCCCTTAACCCTACTGTCCTGTCATTACCTGTGACAATTTAGACTGACTTCTCTGCCACCACTCTCGACCCCACTGGTATTTTGGAAACTAGAGGCCACATCAGGAGGCATGTCTGTGTAGACAGAAACCGACATGTCTCTGACCTTCCTAACAGGATCAGAAGGACCTGGTGTATGTCCTAAAGGCCAGATAACGCCCACCTTTAGCCCCTCGGAGGGCAGACTACTTCCCGTGCGCTGGGCTGGAGCTGCAGGCCATACCAGGGGCCCACGCCCTGGGCGGGCACACAGGGCAGCCATTGTTTGTGCTGTGCCTGGCACCCTCTCCTTTGCATAACCATGTAGAGAATGCGAGGGAGAAGGCTGGGGGGACTTGTCCCTGTGGAAGGGGGTGGGGGGCAATGGGGGAAGAAGCTTGCAGGGGTCACAGCAGGACCCTGCGATCCCCGGTCCCCAGCGCAGGCCAGGAAAGGTGGGTGGGCTGGTGGGGATGCAGAGGGCGGTCAGGGTCTTGAGGGAGTAGGGTCAGGGGTGTAACATTCCTCCTGCACCCACACTGAGCTGTGGGCTGAAGTAGACGTGAGGGGATTGCTAATGAGCTGGAGGAGAGTTAAACATTCCCCTAGTCCTGAGGGCTGAGTCCCATGGAAGACAGAAGGGAAAGGTGGGGGTCTTAGAGGGGGAGCCTGCACCCCAGGAATGTGCAGAGGCCACTGCTCCCTCAAGGCTGTTTTGGAGCTGGGGGCCCAGCCCACTGTCCTGGGTCCCAGCAGGAGCTGCTGAGCCAGCCAGCAAGGGGATTAATGGGCTGAGAAATCCGCCTTCTTTTAGGCCAATGCCAGAAGCCCGATGCTGTCTCCCCAGCTCCCCGCCTGGCCCCCTGTTGGTCTGCAGCCAGGTCTGACCAAGACTCAGTGGTGCCCTTCTTCTGACCTCTCAATCTCAAACACACCCCATAGACATATTCCCTGGTCTGGCTGTCCGGCATCCTTATTTCCGGTGCACATGGATCCCAGTTCCCCAAGAGCGCCTCTCCCCAGCACTCAGTTCTCAGTCTAGTCTCTCCACATCTGGCCTCAAAAGTTCTCCCTGATGTCTACCTCTATGTTTACCTGCTGCAAGCTGGAATGTCCTTTCTGTTCTCAAGTCAAAGGGCAGGAACCTTCAAGGGTCACATCAGCCTTATAACAGCAAAGTCATCTCAGAGCTGTTGTCAGGGTAAGGATGAGAATTTTAGTGGACTGGAATCAGGCTCCTAAAGGGTGGAAAGGCCTGGAGTAGGCAGGATTACTTTTCCCAGCCCCTCCCTTCTCTATCCCTGGGACCCACCTGGGCCATAAATCCCGCCTCCACCCCCAGGGGGTTGGGCATGAGCTTCGCTGGGTACCCTGGTCTGACTCAGGCAGCTGCTGTGGGCGGGCCTTTGGCCTTTTCCCCTGCATTCTGGAGCCCAGAGCCACTGCCTTTGCTGCTGCTGCAGCTGCTGTCCCCTCTCCTCCTCTGCTTCCAACTACTCACTGCTCCCCAGCCCCAGCGGTTCTCTCTCCTGGCCATGACCACAGTGATCCATAGGACCCTGGCCCACCTCTGAGCCCTGGGGCCTTTGGTCCCCTCTCTTGGGCCATGGCCAACTCAGGTCTTCAACTGTTGGGCTACTTTCTGGCCCTGGGTGGCTGGGTGGGTATCATTGCCAGCACAGCCCTTCCACAGTGGAAGCAGTCCTCCTATGCGGGTGACGCCATCATCACAGCCGTGGGCCTTTATGAAGGACTCTGGATGTCCTGCGCCTCGCAGAGCACTGGTCAGGTGCAGTGCAAGCTCTATGACTCACTATTCGCCCTGGATGGTAAGCCTCAGGCTGGTGGGCTGGGAGGTGGGGTGTGGGGGAGGCTAGAGGTTTACAGCAAGCTTTCCTACAGTCTGCTGTCAGCACCAAACCAAGCCCCACATTCCCACTCCCCACATGATCCCCACAACTACCCTCACACGCCTGGGCCCTTTGGGAGCCAGGGGGCTCTGGGTAGGGTCTGGCAGCTTCAGGTCCACTGAAACCTTGTGAGATCCAGGGTTTTACATTCTGAGGTCCCCCTCTGTAAAGGGGGATACTAACACCTTATTCGAATGAGAAGAGGGCCTAGCACTCCAAAGGCCTGAAACCCTGTAGTCCACTTCTTACTTTCTGTGTACAGACACACATTTGTGCCTATACAACTACTGCCCAGTCCTCCACCCAGACAAGTGTGCCTATGCACACACAGAAGCACAGAACAAACACATGCACATGCACACACACACACACACACACACACACGGGAGTTTCGGCCCACGCCCCTTTCTTCCTGGGGGGTGAAGTTGAGACTCCAATTGGCTCATAAGTGGGCACCTGTGCTCTGACCTTCAGCAGGGCCGAATGGCTGCACTCTGCCCAGCGCCCATAGGCAACCAGGCAGGGCTGCCCTCAACCAGCCCACTGCATAAGTCCAACCAGGTCACGTCTCTTCCAGGGGCCCAGGTCTCTTGAGCTGGCCTGGGGCCCATGACTAACTGGTGCACCCTTTCCAGGGGTTGGGAGTAGGGACATCTAACTGCTGTGGGTGATTTTTGGGGCTGAGAGGAAGGTGAGCAGAGTCAGAGGGGCTGATGTGGAGTGAGGGATGCTGTTTGGGGGCTGGCTGGGCTGAGGTGGGCCTCAGACACATTCAGCTTTTCCTTCTCTGAACTTGAGCTGCCCAGAAAGAGCTGCTTGGGATAGTGTCCAGGCCCAAGACAAAGCAGCAGAAAAGTCAAGCCTATCACCAAAGCACTATTGGGAGGACCTTGCAAGAGGGAGTAAAAAACAGGGCCAGTGGTAAAGGGGACTCAACCCCACATCCTGTCCTCACAACTGCAGTCACCTTTCACAGTCTCACCTGAAGGCAGGTGGCCTGGCCTCAGCCAGCTCTTACCTAAGCCCCTCCCACCCAGGCTCCTCCCATCACAGATACAACCCACACATGGCCCCACTCTAGGCAGCTCACCCTCTCTCTGTACCCTCCATCCCAAGCCCTGCTCAGTGCAGCCCTGGCCCTGCCCTAGGTCACATCCAGTCAGCACGAGCCCTGATGGTGGTGGCCGTGCTCCTGGGCTTCGTGGGCATGGTCCTCAGTGTCGTGGGCATGAAGTGCACACGAGTTGGAGACAGCAACCCCATCGCCAAGGGCCGTGTGGCCATCTCCGGGGGTGCCCTCTTCCTCCTGGCAGGTGAGTGGCCCTGCTTCCTCTTCTACCCTCTTGGCCATGACAGGGTGGCTGGCCAGGAACTGGGCACAGCTGAGCACCCTTCTGCTTTGTCCTCAGGTCTCTGCACTTTGACTGCTGTCTCATGGTATGCCACTCTGGTGACCCAGGAGTTCTTCAACCCGAGCACACCTGTCAATGCCAGGTGAGTGCCACGGTTGGCTCCTGCTTCATCTATTCTGGGCCCACTTCCCTGTGTCCAGCAGTCACTTGGAAAGGGAAATAGATAATGGAACCCAGATGCTGTCTGAGAAACTCTGGAGCAGGGAGCCAGTGTAGGTACAGCTGATGAGGGCAGGAAGCTGAGGGGCAGGCAGCAGGGACCTCCAAGGAGCTAAGGCCCTGGCTCTGAGCTCTGTTCTGATTCCAGCTCTGCAGGTCCTGGCAGAATATTGGGAAAGTTACTTAAGCTTTCTATGCCTGGCTTCTTTCTCTGTAAGATGGAGTCAGAGCCCTGAGGACCAACTCTCACATGGTTGTAAGAGTCCACCAGACAATGATGCAGGTAGGGGTTAGCACAGTACCTGGGCTGGGAGATTGCTCAGTACACCTAAGCTGCTCTTATTTCTCCTGAAGGCAGCAGGCTGGAGACAGCAGTTTTATGGGATCATGGAGATAGAACTAGAGAAAAAAGGGCAGATGGGGCAGGCTGGCAGCCTTCCAGGGACTGTTTCATCCTGGGGTGGAAGGCAATGCAATCCCTCCGCTGTGATGTGCATAGTGTAGGGGGCAGAACCCATAGGATAGCAATGGCAGAGAGCTCAAGGCCAGGAAGATAGCACTGGAAAGCAGATTTAGAGATATATGGGAGCTGGAAGAATCAACACTTACAGGATCAGGGGCATAAGGGCTGAATCAGGGGCTCTCAGAAGTCTGGGCCACTCCGCTCCTCCCAGCCAAACCAAGAACAAAGAAAGGAACATCCAAGGCATTCTAACAGGCCCAGGGATGGAGGGCAGAGAACAAAAAAGCCTGACCATGAGAAAGGCTCCCTGCTGTAGGCAGAGATATAGAAGAGGAGGCTTCAGGTGGGATCTGTTCCCTGGGGGGCAGTGATAACCGCAGAGACCTGCCAAGCAGAGTTGAGCTCAAGGGGCCAAGTAGGAACTGGGCCCTTCAACCTTTTGAGCATCCCAAGGCTGCCTGAATTGGACAAATCCCAGTCTGTCTGCCCTTACGCAGCTCTTGGGGCTCACGGGCCTATTGGTAAGGGTACGACACGGGGCAGGGTGAGCATAGGGGCATCAAGGAAATGGCTTGGGAACTAGGCCCTGAAGGCAGAGGAGGAGGTAAGGGGGCAATCCAGGAGGGGCATCATGTGCTAAGGCACAGAGGCCAGAGACACAGGAGAGCCCAAGCAAGCCCCTTACCTGAAGGCAGTGGAAAGCAACTCTGGCAGCCTAATTAGACCTCGAGGGCCTCCCAGGCCCTCTGCACTTGCAAGAAGTGGATATGAGAGCAAGGGTTAGGGAGTAGACCTCCAGCCTGCAGGGCCACCCTGGGCCTAGCTTGCTCTGTATGGCACTGAAATGCTTGGGGGACAGAGGAGGAAGAATGAAAGTCACCCCAGTTTATCTGGGGAGATGAAGGGGTGTGAGCACCCTGCCCTCCAGCTCCTGCCCACTGCACTCCCTCTGGCAGGCCCTTGAGCAGAAGCATAAAGCAGGGCTGGGTTTGCAGCCACACCTGAAGCTGCTTGTCCTCTACTCTGCAGGTTTGAATTTGGCCCAGCTCTGTTTGTGGGCTGGGCCTCAGCTGGTCTGGCCATGCTGGGGGGCTCCTTCCTCTGCTGCACATGCCCTGAGCCTGAGAGAGCCAACAACAGCCCACAGCCCTACCGCCCAGGACCCTCCACTGCTGCCCGAGAGTACGTCTGAGCCCTGCAGTCCCAAACAGCCCTCCGGCCCAGCAGCCCCTCGCCTAGCACTCCAGCCAGCCCTGACAGCATCCTGAACAGGATGTCCCCAAAGCCCTATCGGGGCTCTGAGAACTTGGTCCTCCACACAGATACCCACTCTGCCCTCTGAGAACCAGATACTCAGAAAGACATCAGATGGGGGTGTAGCTCAGCGGCCTAAGTGCCTGCCTGGCAAGCATGACATTCTGAGTTCAATTCCTGGTACCAAAAGAAAAAAAAAGGACATCAGAGGCAGGATCCCTCTTCCTGCAGTACACCCGTGTGCTGCCCAGCCACTGGCAGGCCCTCAGGCACCAGCCCAGTGAATGCCCTTACGCCCTCCTGCTTATTTACCATGTTTACCACGTGCTGGGCACTGAGAATGCTCCTGTGACCAAGATGTTAGAACCCAACACCTGGGGTGGGCAGAGCCCTTCACCCACCTGCATTCCACTGCAGTTCCCAGACAAGGGATGTACCTGTTACACTGCAGCATCCTAAGGTTCCGAGACCAAGAAGCTCAGCCCTGCTTTCTCTGAGTGCTGGTCTTGGCTCATCTAGTCACCTGACACTGCTGGGCACCCACATAGGTGGCTAGAACAAACTGCCACCCACACCCCAAACAGGGCTGCTGTGAGGGCCAAGGTCCCTTGGCACTGGCCAGGCCTGTGTCTGGGCCTGCATCCCCCAATGCCGCTCATCCCACTAACCAGCTCTCTCTCTTTTGACTTTCAGACCCGTTGTTAAATTGCCCGTCTCCATCAAGGGCCCCCTGGGTGTGTAATGTCCGAGTCCCCAGCCAGGCTCTGTCCCCCTGCCACACCTAGTCTGTGTGCTTGGTATGTTTTGGAAAAAGAAGTGAACGTTCAGTCCAAGTGTGTTGTCATTTGCTCTGTTCTTGGCACGGCTGGGCGGGACCTGGTGTAGAGAGGTTGGAGCTGATTCCTGGGGGTTTCTGAGTGGGTTTGCACAAATAGGGCAAAACAGAAAGAACTTGGGGTCTTGGGGCTGGGGATTTAGCTCAACAGCATAAGTGCCTGCCTTGCAAGTGTGTGGTTGTGAGTTTGATCCCTAGTACCAATAAAAAAAAGGACAAAAAAAAAAAAAGAGAGAACTTGGGGTCTTTGGCTTGGCACCAGGACCTTCCTGATGAGAGATCTCACCCAGCCTTCCCCTGGCCCAGGCTAGAAGCAGACCCCTAGTCAGAGAGCCCTGGTGTGGAGAAAAGCTCACAGATGACAAACCCCGCCTCTGGGAGCCTGCTAAGGGAAAGGACAGCCCCCATGAGGCCTTCTGGCTGGAGCTAGGTCAGAGCTGGATGAAGGGATGTTGTGCAGGGGCTCCCTCTATAGGAAGGCCATTAGGCTCGGCTCGGCTCCACCCTAGTCCTGCCATGGAGACATGGTCAGATCTCCAGGCCAGTGCACAGATCCCAAAGACACAGTCCAGCTTCTCCTTCAGGTTTGAGTCTTTGAGGTAAAATGAACAAAACCAATCCCGGGAAGATGACTGTCACACACACTGTGGCTGAAGTCACGATGGAGAAGAGAAGCAAGTGACAGGGAGCTAGCGTGGGGTTGCCCCCAGTTCCCAGTTTGGTGACTGACGTGCATCCACAAAGCCTCTGGCCAGAGAGGGGAGCACCTGGCCCTGAGTAGGTTTACCACAGCCCTACAGTCCTGCAGCCCACATTCCAGAAGTGTCTCTGGTGCCTGCACCTCTAGACATGCTGACCTAACAGGTCTAGGTATCAGAGCTTATGTAGCTGCCCTGAGGGAGCCTCTGAAGGCACTCTGAGGGGTCCATGGAGTGGAGGTAAAGATCCTCAGAAGAAAGAGGAAAGGCGAGGCTGGAGAGGAAGCACCATCTCCCTCTGCTTTTCCGGGAGACCAGGCCCTTGGAGGAGACGCCCACATCCTTCCGATCAGTATGCCTTTGTGCTGAAATGATTTTGAGTCTGGATCCTGTCACACACAGCCACAAGGCCCTAACACAGAACTTAAAACCTGGAAACTCAGCGCTGCACCGAGGGCTCCTGTTATATGATACCAGCTAAGCAGGGATAGGGTTGTCCCCTAAATAGCCAGGTATTTAGCAGTCTTCACTATTTGGTAATAAAGCTGGCCAGAAATCATGTGTCACCTCTTGGGATTCATGGGCTCCACAGCCATGGAACTTGGTGAGAAGATGTCTAGATGGAATATACTGTCCACAGCCGTCCTACCCTGCATGTGCCCCATCTCAGTTTGAGCAGAAGACAATGTGCTGGCTATTGCTTGTGGGTTTCAGGGACAGACTGAAAGATCAGGCTCCATGCAAGCAGGAGACCTGATAGCAGAGAAGGAGCAGGCTTCAGTCTATTCCTTCATTAAAGGAAGCTTGTTTTACCTGTAGCCAGGAATGGTGATGGTAGTGGTGGTAACCACAGCTCGGTGCATTCGACAACCCATTAATACACTGATCAAAAATGCCTGAGATCCTTTCAGTGGACAGGAGATGTCTGGAAGAAACTAGAGGAATCTGAAGCTAAAAGAGTTTGGGGATCCTGAAGCCACAGTTCTCCCCTGGAGTAACCCCATTCAAATGCCTTTGGCACCTGGGCTGCCACTGCCAGGGCCTGTTTTTTAGGCCTCCATGATCAGCCTGTTGTTTACTGCCTCAAGGCTAAGAGATTGGACAGAGACCCATCAACATGGGACTCAGACTCAAAAAGTGTGATCCTAAAATTTTTGCCATTGCTTATTAATAAACATAACCCAAAAAATAAAATTGCCATGGGATAAAATATGATTTTAGGCCAAACATGGTGGCATGCACCTATAATCGCAGTGCTCCAGAGGCAGAAACAGGAGGATCTCCTTGAGTTCGAGACTAGCCTGGATCACATAGGGAGTTCTAGGCTAGCCTGAACTGCATAGCAAGACCTTGTCTCAAAAAGACCAAAGCAAAAAAAACAAAACAAAACAATTTTAGGAGGGATATAACTGTGTACTCAACTCCTGCAGAAAGCCCCAAACCCTAAGGGAGCTGACCAGGCATCTCATCTATTGCCTGGGAAGAGGCTTGAAAAATGTATATCTGAGAATACAGTATATGACAGAGCAGGTGATTTCTAGGATTTGTTAATATGCATTGTATATTGCTAATATTGTGTGTAATGACACCGTGGTTCTCAATTTTTTACCCTTGCGTGGTAGAAGTATACACTGACATGATGGCTGGATTTGGTTTAAAATACTCGAGGAACAAGGAGTTCATGGGCTGAGAAAGTTACAAAGTAAGACTCGTAAATGCTACTGGTAGTGAGCTTCACGCTACCCTTCTGTTTGTGTTTGCTAATGAAAGAAAAATTAAAAACTTAATTTTAAAAATAGCTCCAAGGTGTTTTGATTGTATGATTTAATACATCCCCCTAACCAGGAGAATAAGGATGAGGGATATGAAGGAAACCCCTGCCATGTGGAGCACAGTTCTCCCCTCTCAGCTCTCCGTCCAGACCTAGAGCCGCCAGCGAGACTGCCAGGTCCTCCGTGTGGACCTAGATGTTTGGGAAGCACTGATACAGGCTTGCGAAGCCTCTGCGATGCTTCTCCTTTTAAAGTGAGAATTCCCATGGAGCTTATCTTGTTTTGTTCCCCATTTCTCTGTTGGATATACTGACCGCGGGTGCACTGAGTGATCTTGTTGGAGTTGACAGTTTATGACAAGCTACAACTAAAGCTGATCTGGACAAACACTGAAGTGAAGAGTGACAGCCAACTGCTTTCTAGCTTTGTTTTCTCATTATAAACAGCATGTTTGGATCAACTTAGGAGAATATGGAAAACATTTTTATCCAGTGGAAACAGTTGAAAATTGTTGGGGACAGTATAAAAATTCCTGTAAGGGCTGCCATGATACTGTGGAAGTCCCAAGTCAAAGCCAAAGAAGCCCTGGGATGCTCCTCCCTCAGTCACACTGTGCCCCAGAGCTCCCCACAACGCTAAGGGGTCACTGACTAGCACGCCAGACACTGGCACTTACTAGGCGAATAAATAAATGAACATACTAAAGAGAAAGCCAGGCTGTTCACTGACAGAGACTAGTGGCTCAGTGGTACAGCACCTGCCTGACAAGTGTAAGGTCCTGAGTTCAATTCCCGGTACCAAAACAAGAAAAAAATTGAAAGAGAGAAGATAAATCCAAGTGGGTGAGATCAGAACCAGTGATGAACTTGTTGGTCTTTTTGATATATGAGAGCAAATACCAAGATAGAATTCGATATTTGTGTATATGAGCGTACATGCACATGTGAGTTACACACACTTGTGAGCTCTACCTCTAGGAAGCCTTTGTAGCAAGGATATCCCAGTCCCCATGGCATGACTAAGGTTCATTGTCCTATTTTTTTTGAGACAAGGTCTTACTATACAATTCAGGTTGGGCTCAAACTTGTGATGATCCTCCTGGCTCAGCCTCCCAAGAGCTGGGATTACAGACATGGGGACCACCATACCCACTCATATCTTTATTTTTGAATATCAGTCTCCACAGGCTCTATGGAGAAGTGGCTGACTCTAGGGTGTGATTGTTTGGATTGAAATATCCCCCAAAGACTCATGTGTTCAAGTGAGTCTTTTGGAATCAGATCGCAGGATACTAACTTCATCAGCTACTGATGCATTCAGAGCTCTGGGCTGCCAGGAGGGCCCTAGTGGCAGAGGGTGGGTCACTGGGAGCCCTTGAAGAGGATAAGTTTTCTCTGCCTCTCTCCCTTGCTTTCTCTGCTTCCAGCCACCAAGGTGAGCAACTTTCTTCTGTCATACCCTTCCCCGAGTTGCTTCTATCTTAAAGGCAGCTGACTATGGACCAAACCTCTAAAACTATGAGCCAGAACAGACCTTTCATCATTTAAATTGCATACTTCAGATATTTCTTTGCAAAAATATAAACTAATATAGCCCTAAAACATAAGATTAAGGGGTTGGGGATTTAGTTCAGTGGCATAAGTGCCTGCCTTGCAAACACACAGTCATGAGTTCGATCCCTGGTACCAAGAAAAAAAAATAAGTTTAGGTAGGGAATGTGTAAAATTTTGAGTATCTTGGTATTTCAGAAAAGAAGAAATGGCTTAAGGATTAATGGAGACAACTACAAAGGATACAGAAGCCAGAGTAAATGTGCTCCCACTGGCTTTGTCTGTAACAAGTTGGGTGTTAAAATAAACAAGGAAACTGAGGTGGTGGCTCACGCCTGTAATCTAGCACTCAGGAGGCTGAGGCAGGAGGACTGCTGCGAATTCAAGGCAAGCCTGGGCTATGTAGTGGGTTCAAGGATAGTTTGGAAGGCGTAACAAGACCCAGTTTCACAAACCCAAACAAACAAACAAAATTATATTTCAGGTGAGTAACATTAGCAACACAGCCAAAAGAACTGCCTGTTGCATGCCTCCATCTATAAAAACAGAACACAGCGAGGAATAAACACATTCCAGTTGGAGCGGCTGAGAACGTAGAAGTGATAGTAGACATGGTGGTGTCCTTGCTGAGTAAACAGACTCTCTTTCCCTCTCTTGATGACAGCATAAATTGGGCCTTATTTTATTTTTAAATACATTTATCCAGTTTTTGCTTTGTTTTGTGTTTTTTTTTGAAATAGCATCTCACTATGCAGTTCAGGCTGGCCTTGAGCTCCCTTCATAGCTCAGGCTGGTATTGAACTCACAATGATCCTTCTGCCTCAGCCTCCCAAGTGCTGAGATTACACTACCATGCCTTGCTTTTTTTTTCCAAGCCTGTAACTTTTAACTATAAAATTCATATATTTACATTCATTATTGATGTACAATAACCTACTCTCACAGTTTTGTTAGTTGTCTTTTGCTGCTTAGCCTCTTTATTATCTTGGTATGACGGTTTTCTGTGGTGATAAGGATTACCTGTGTGTCCCTTCTATCAGGTGAATTTTATACTTTCTTGTGTTTTCATGGTGGTGTTTATCATCCTTTCACTTCTAGATGTGGGATTCCCTTAAGGAAGACAATAAAGTAGACAAGGTTATAATACAAAAACAAAGAATTTTTTTAAAGAAAAGGAAGGGCACAATAATTAAGATGTATCATGTATATAGATCAACTTCCCATGATGAATGTCATCGTTTTGTGCTGCAAATGTGTATTAATAAAAATTAAAATTAAAAAATTAAAATATAAAAGCCAAGAGGAAAAAAGAAAGTTACACAATAGTATCCCTGATAATCATAAGTGGAAAAAATTATCAGTGAAATACTCACAAATCAAACCCAACAGTGTATCAGAAATGTCATATTCCATAATCAAGTAGGAGCAAAGATAGTTCAACATATGTAAATCAATAAATGCAACGCAGCAACAGAACAGAGGACAAAACTACATAATCATCTCAGTAGATGCAGGAAAAGCATTCTAGGAAAGCCAGTATCACTGCATGATGACAAACTCTAAATATAGAGCTAACATACTGCAACACAATTAAGAACACATATAACAAGCCCTCAGCTAATGTTATGCTGAATGTGGAAAACTTGAAAGTATTTCCTCTAATACTGGGGACAAGACAGAGATGCCCACTTTTACTACTTGAGGTCAGTGTAGCACTGGAATTCTGAACCAGAGCAGCCAGGCAGACCAAAGAAGTAAAGGATGCCCAGCCGCAGAGGAGAAAGTCAAATCATCCCTGTTTGCATATGACATGAGTTGCTTTTTTTGTGTTTTGTTTTTTCAGCACTGGAAATTGAATCTAGGACCTCACATCAGCTAGGCAAGTACTCCACCATTAAACTATATCCCCATTCCTTTTTATTTTATTTTGAGACAGAGTCACACTAAGGTGCTCATGCTGGCCTTGAGTTCACAGTCCTGTCTCAAGACTCCTGAATAACTGGGATAATAGGTATGCACCCCACAGCTGGCATCATATATATATATATATATATAAATAAAGTTTTCCAAAGCAGAAATGAAAAACAAAACAACAAAACTGTTAAAACTGATAAATAGGGCTGGGGATTTAGCTCAGCGGCATAAGCACCTGCCTTGCAAGCAGGCGGTCGTGAGTTCGATCCCTGGTACCGATAAAAAAAAAGAAAAGTTAAAAAAAAAACTGATAAATAGGGCCAGGGATAAAGTTCAACAGCACAACACCTACATGGCAAGAGCAAGGTGCTGAGTTTGATTTCCAGTGTCAGAAAAATAAATTGATAAAAAAATAAGTAAATTAAATAATATATAGGATACAGGATCAACGTATGACTGAGGTGGTGGCCCGCGCCTGTGATTGCAGCAGACTGAGAGACTGAAGTAGGTGAATCACAAGTTCAAGTCCAGCCAGAGTAACTTCATGACTTTGCAAGACCCTGTCATAAAATTTAAAAAAGTCTGGGATGTAGCTTAGTGTAAAGGCCTTGGCATCAGTCCCTGGTACTGAAAAAACAGAAAAAATTAAGCCCAAAGCAACAAAAGGAAGAAAATAATAAAGATTATAAATGAAATAGAGGCTAGGAAAAGAGCAGATAAGAGCAACACAACCAAATTTGTTTTTTATGATAACCAAAATTGACAAGTATTTAGCTAGATGCACCACAAAGAGGGAGAGAGAGAGAGAGAGAGAGAGAGAGAGAGAGACTCTTGGGGGTGGGGGTGGGCACTGGAAATTAAACCCAGGGCCTCACACTAAACTACATATTAATAGCCCTTTATATTTTTTATTTTGAGACAAAGCGTCATAAGTTAATAAATGTCATAAATTGCCATTTGAGGCTCAAACTTTCAATCCTCCTGCTTCAGCCTCCCCAAGTGCCAGCATTACCATCACATCTGGCATTGTGATACTTTTTATTTCTGAAGAACCAGTAATAACGTCCCCACTTTCATTTCTGAGCTGTTTCATGTATGAGTTGAGTATGTAACTCAGTGGTAAAATATGTGTTCCGTATTCTGAGTTCTGTCCCTCAGCCCTTCCAAAAAAAGAAAAATAATGTTGTTGAATTTCCACAAATTTGTGATTTTTCCAGGGTGGGTTTTTTTTTTGGATGGGGGCTTGCTATGTAGTTCAGGCTGGTCTTCAGCTCACTATGTACCCCAGGTTGGCCTTGAATTCACAGTGATCCTCCTGCCTCAGGCTCCCAAGTGCTGGGATTACAGGCATGAGCCACTCCCAGTTTAATATTATCTGTCTCTCTCCTTTCTTCTTTTCCTTTTATCATTTTTCTCTTTCATTCTTTCTTTCTCTCTTTCTCTTTCTTTTTTTCCTGCCTTTTTTTCTTTTCTTATTTTTTTAGGATAGGGTCTTGCTTTATAGCTCAGACTGTCCTTGAACTGACTATATCCTAGGCTGGCCTTGAACTCCTGGCAATCCT